AAATGAAGATGTGTATTTTCTTGACTGTTCTCCCATTTCAGGTGGGTTTTCCCTACTCGATTTGCTGGGAAACTGAGGTTTTAATACTAATTTATACGTTCTTTGAAATCCTAGCGGGAGATCTTGGTGGTAGAACATTACTTGTGTGTTAGTGGTGGCTTGGGGCAAGCAAAATCCATCTGCAGCATGTGGAAAATACTGGCTCATGACTGTTTTCAACTGAATTGTCTTTCTGTCCTTGAGCTGGAGGAACCCCCCCAGAGCGCAGCCTTCGTTTGCTCCAACAGCTTTTGTGGAGATAAGATTCCTGAGACAAAATAAGTGTTTTTAGCAAGATATCTGCTCTCCGTGTCAATATTTTTTTTTTTTTTTTTGGTGGGTGCAGAGTCAGGTGGCCTTGTGCATTGTGCCAGGGCTGATCTGTCCCACAGAGGCGAGACAGCGAAGCCTGGGATATCTCTTGGTGGTGACCCCTCGGCTGAAGGTCATTTGGCCACTTAAATAGAGAAGAGCCTCGAGAGGTAAAGATTGGTCTCTAGGCTGGGCTACGACATCTTTTTGAGGGTCTTCTGCTCTGATGCTTCTCTTAAAGCCTTCCAGGTGGCACGGTGAGATGTTCAGGAGCGAAGAAAGAGTGTAGAAACCTTGAAATAGGGAATCTTTGGAGGTTGACTCAAACCTGAGAGGTGTGGAGGGTCTTGGGGAGCTGTGGAGAACTGTCCCAGGATGGACATCGGAGGTGGAGACATTGGTGGGACAGACCCAAGACCGTCCCTGCTCTCCAGATCCAAAGCTGAGGGAGCAGCGAGCCTTGGCAGTGTCTAAGTCTGACTTTTTGTCATCGTTTTCATCTCCGTGGCTTACCTGCAAAAGGACTTTTTGCTTTCCTGTGAGAGTTTGAAGATCCTCTCCGTGCTAGGTGAGTGCTGTCTCATCTTCTCCCAGATGTTTTTCCTCACTAGGGGAACATAGATGGGACCTCGGTGGATTTGTAGTGACTAAATCAGCTTAAAATAGGAGCTTCCGGGTGAGGAGAAGCACTTAAATAATTTCTAGGGCAGGTTCCTCATTAGCAAGCATGCTGCTGGAAAATTTGGGCGAGTCTTAGGAGGAACTGAGGGGTGAATTTTAGTGGAAAATGTAAGAATGCTTAAAACATCAGTAAAATAATTTTAGTAAAGCTGTGACGCTCTAAAGGTTAAGGTTAATCATGTTAGAGTTATGTATGTGCTTAGAGAACAAAATTTGGTGTATGTTGGTTGAATGGGGAGGTGATTAAATACAGATATTTCTGGTGTATGAGAGTACTGGGGTCGGTCGTAACTCGTTTGGCATAGTTAGTCTTTGCTCTTGGAAAAACTAGAGATCCGCACCGTGCGGTCGGTTTAGTTGGGAGAGAAACCATCACCTGAAATCCTGGGGTGCTGGCGGGTGGCTGTTCCTCTCCTTTAGCAAAAATAAAATATTAAAAGTCTTGTGATATTTTTTTAATATCTAAATGCCTCTTTTTGAAGAACAGGCAACTGGAGGTTTTGTATGATACCTTGAATTTTGCAAAATCAGTATTAAAAAGTCAGGATCTGCTGGAAAAAGTGAATTTGTGGGAAAAATTTGTCATTTAGCAGTGATGAAATTACAAATGCCAACCTTTGAGTTAATGTGACTCTATTTTCAGATACTACATGAATTGCTTGTTAGTATTGCAGTGGGGTTTTTCTTGGTCTTAGCCTTCCTTTAACAAGAAATCCTTATTTTCACTCTTTCTGGAATTCTTGTGACACCCTTTATGCCCCGTACACTTCAAGTCTTGACTTAAATTCAGGCATTAATTGGGATTGAAACATTTTTCCCCCTGAGTTAATGTGATTGCTAGTGTGGAAGTGGTACCTGCTCATTCAGATTTATCCTGATGGGGGAAAACCAGCAAAGACTGGTAATGTAAACCTTTTAAATCACCAATTTTTAGTTTTGTTTTTTGTAGTTGCAAAGCTTGGTAAGAGATATCTGGTGTCTTTCTTCTGCAAGTGTTATTCTCGGAGGTCTTAACTGCTGGAACAGTACAGAGGATGCTGGAGAAAACTTCATTAAAATCTGAAAACTTAAATTACTAGTGCTGCAGTAGCCAAATCATGTAGGGTTTTAGAAGACTGAAAATACCGATTTATTTTTTTCAATGCTTTGCTATGGGAATGTTTTTATAAGAAACTCATGAATTCTGCTGCTGAAGCAAGAGTTGCTCTTCAGAGCTATTCTTTCCTTCCTCCTTCTCCCAACTCCTGCTCTGAAAGGAAATTTAAAAGCTACTGAACATGCAGAAGGTAAATTATGTTCTTAAAAAAAAAAAGTATTTTAAGCAAATGGCCTATTCCTCCAAGCTGCTGAGTTTGATTATTGGGATCCGGAGATGAAAACAAGTCCCTTCTGCATCTGTTTGGAGCTGTTACTAGCTGGGAAAAAGTAGTATTTTCAAGAAAAGAACAACCTGTATTTGAGATTTAATCTATTTTATGTTATCAGATAAGCGTGATTGTGATATAATTGTAATTGGTGGCATTGGAGCGGGTCTGTTAATGGAGATACTTGTGAAACAGCAGTGCTGAATGAGTTTGGGGGTTTATAGACTCAGACTGATTGGGGTTGGAGGGACCTTAAAGCCCACCAAGAGTTTCTTCTTTAGATCTCAACTAAATATCCCCTCTTTTGAGTGCAAAACCGTCACCCCTCGTCCCATCCCCACCCCCTGACCCAGAGTCCCCCCACACCTTTCCCGCCCCCCCTTTAAGCCCCGGGAGGCCACTCTCAGGGTCCCCCCGGCCCCTTCTCTTCTCCAGGCTGAACCCCCCCAACTCTCTCAGCCCGGCCCCCCAGGGGAGCTGCTCCAGCCCCCCCAGCATCTCCGTGGCCTCCTCTGGCCCCGCTCGAGCAGCTCCGGGTCCTTCTGCTGTTGGGGGCCCCCGAGCTGGCCCCAGCACTGCAGGGGGGTCTCCCCAGAGCGGAGCAGAGGGGGAGAATCCCCCCCCTGGTCCTGCTGCCCCCCCTGCTCTGGCTGCAGCCCAGGGCACGGGTGGGTTCTGGGCTGCCAGCGCACGGGGCTGCCTCACGGGCAGTTTTCCCCCCACCAGCCCCTCTCCTCGGGGCTGCTCTCCAGGCACCCCTCGAGGGCCCAGCCTGGGTTTGTGCTGGGGATCGCCCCGACCCCCGGGCAGGACTTTGCCCTTGGCCGTGTTGAACTCCAGGAGGTTTGCCCGGGCCCCCTCCCCAGCCTGCCCGGGTCCCTCGGGGTGCCCCCCCTGCCCTCCCGCGTGTCCCACGGCTCGGGGTCATCGGTGACCTTGCTGAGGGGGCATCCATCCCGCTGTCCTCGTTACCAGCAAAGATGCTGAAGGTCCCTGGCCCCAGTACCAACCCCTGAGGAGCGCCGCCCGTCACCGCTCTCCACCTGGACGGCGAGCCGTTGACCCCAGCTCTTTGAGTGTGACCATCCAGCCAGTTCCTTATCCACCGCGTGCTCCATCCCTCAAATCCACGTCTCTCCGACTTAGAGACAAGGGTGTCGTGGGGGACAGTGTCAAACGCTTCGCACAACTCCAGGTAGATGATGTCACTTGCTCTTACATTCACTAATAAGAACCAGAAGTGGCCAGAACGGGTGACAAGTTGTGTCAGAAAGCACAGGTAGGCAGGAGCTCATAACCCCCCCGGGTGTTTGAAGCTTTTGGTGAGTTTTTTGTTGTGAGTATTTAAGGAGCTTGTTTATGCTGGGTGCCCAGGGTTTGGTCTGTGTTATATCATCCAAGCTGCTTTGGTGTTCGCCTTCCTCCAGGATGGGCTGTGGTAGGAAGCTGAACCGGCAGCAAACACCGAGTAAGTAGGATGACACTCCAAAGATCAGCTTAACCCCTGAAAAAACCAGCACTAAAATGTCAAGTAAAACCTGGCAGTAATTGCTGTGGTGTGACAAAGCCCTGAGCAACTTCTAAAGTCAGCCCTGCTGTGAGCAGGAGACCTCCAGACATCCCTTTCGCCCTGCTGTATTTCTCACCCCAGGGCAGGTGAGTCGTAGCTAAAGTTTCCCCGCCCGATTGCTGGGGCTGAGCTTAGGCAGTCAGAGCTGTTAGGCTGGTCCTCTGGCCTCCTGGGGTTTGGGTGCCTTACCCTGTGCTGAATTCCTTTTGCTGGGGGAAGAAGCATCACATCTCCCATGTCCTTTATGATCTGTCCTGCCCCTGAAAATGAAATCAAAGAATTTTTTTTCTTTTTTTAAATAGCTTGCTTTATTTATTTGCTCTAATGTAAGACGAGCTGGCTCTGGAGGTGCAGTGGGGGTTTCACCGGCAGAAGCGATGTTAAAAAGGTGTTGGTTGTGGTTATGGGTATCTTCCTCGAGATCATCTTGGCGCTAAAAGCTTAAATCTCATGTTCAGTGCTTTTTTTTTTTAACAATTTCTGTGAAAAGCCAGAGTGTGAGCCATCGCTGTTCCTGCGCTGAGGCTGCGGGTGGGTTCGAGACTTCTTGTAAACTGCTAAGCCAGGCTTTGAGGTGCCTGCAGCCTGGCAGCCCCCGGGCGCTGGGTGAACCCCAGGCCCTGGAACCAGCTTCAACAACTGGAAAGGACTTTCTGGGCTGAAAAGAGCTTTTTGAGTAATCTACAGGTTCTTTTTGTTTGTTTGCGGAAAGATTGACGCGAGGGAATGGGCTTGTGCTTGTTGAAGCTCTCAGAAAGAGGTGTGTTGGGTTGGTTAGCTGAAATCAAATAATCTTTCTCAGTATATTTAAATTCCAAGTGGATGATGGTCTGGACCGTTGTCTTGGCTCCCTTCACCCATCCACATCTGCGTTGTGATGCTTTTCATCATCCCAGGTTCCTGGTTTTCCAGCTCATACATACACTTTTCTGCAAATAAAATTAGAAATCTGGAGAGCGAAAAAGCCAAGGATAAAAGTTAGCAATGTTTTTGGGCTGTAATTCTGATTCAACATGCGTTTCTTTTCCTTGCAGATCTTTCTTTCAGTAGTAGCTTCGAAAATGAAGGTCAGAGGGTTCAGCTGGTGAAGAAGAACCGAACACCTCAAAGGGTCAACTCTGATTTCAGGTAATTATCCTGAATTTTACTCCTGTGTTAAGTGCATGATTTACGGGGTGCATTTTGGGGCAGAAATGTCTCTTTCTGAGGGTGTCACGGGAGAGAAGGTGATGTAAAGCAAGACTACAGGAATTAATTACAGCCAGGGCTGAGCTGCACTCCTCGAGTGCTTTGGATTGAGTAAATCTCGTACAGCAAATGTGTCCCTGGATTTGCCGGATTTACTGATGGGCTTATCTGAACCTTCACCTTCGTTAAGGCTGGCTCAAACTTAATTGTCCTGATACTTCATTAGATGCGGAACTTAAATCTGCTTTCCCAGGGGAGCTGATTCCAGCAGGGAAAAGGCAGAAACAGCAGAGAGCTGAGGTGAGAGTGCAAAGTCAGGGAGAAGCTTCACATGCATGAAATAATTCTGAGGTTTCTGTATCTTGGTGTATCTCTCTGGTATTTAAGAATGTCAGACACAAGTATTTTTGCTCGGCCTCAGGTACATGTACAGCTGCATCTCCCATACCCCTCAGCTGACGGTTTGGGCGAGTCCAGGTGGTTTCCCCACGGCTGCCACCGAGTCCAAATTTGGCCACTTTCTGCTCAGTTTGGGTGGGTTTGGCAGCCTGCTTCCATCCTGGCTGCCTGTCAGACAGTGCTGGGCAGGGCTGCCTTCTCTCGGGGGTTTGTATTCCACCCAGCTCAAGAAAGCAGGACACGACTGTGATGGTTTTTGGTGTCTCTACCCAGAACTTGCTCTTTTAGGTGTGTTTTTCTGGTAGTTTGCCCTAAAAGGCTTGGGAATAAATGGGAAAAATCACCCCAAATCTATAACTATGGTGTTTTCATGGCTTCAGCTTTAGAAGTACTAGGTTGGTTTTGTGGCATACTTTGGCAAGATTTCTTTCCCAGTAATTTATTCTCTCACTAATAATAATGGTAATCTCAGAGGTGTGTGTGGTTACAGACAGCCCAGACACGAGGATCGGCTTTCTGAAGTCTCGGGTGGGAAAGGCCATGTTAAATATCCAGCTGCGCTAGGAATGCCTTGACCTTGAGGATGTTTTGTTAGTTGACAGCAAGAAGTAAAACTGGGGACAAAAACCAACTTCATCTTTCCAGGAAAAGAGCAGTTCTTGCAAGTATTAGGCTGGAATAGAGAGTGGGCATCAAATCTTCTTCTGTTCTCAGGCTACAAGGGTGGGAATGGCCTCACATTTGGGTCTTACCCACAGGATGCTTAAATTTGGCGCTTGAGTTGAGATTAGTTGGAAACTGATAGTAGAATGGGTTAAAAAATGTCACGTTTCTGACTTACACTAGATAAACTTCAACTTTTCTGTGTGGTCACCTACGCCCAGGTTCCGCCGTCTTTTCCACCCGCCTTGAATGGGGGTTGGGGGATTGGTGACGATCCGCCAGCCTGGCGACGGGTGGGATGGAGTTTGGGGCAGTGCTGGCGGGTGCCGCTGCCTTGAAATCGGTAGCGGGGGGAGGTCACCGCGGACAGCCAGCAGGGGACTCGTGGCCCTCGCTCACGGGGCAGCTACGGTGAGACGCCGATGGGCCACTCCGTCTCCCCAGGCACGGGAGGTGTGCCGCCCGGGGAGGGCACGGTGCCGCGCTCGGCCGGTGTCGGGGGGTGGGGGTGCCCTCCCCACCTCGGGGTCTTGGGCTGTCGGACAGCGGCCCCGTCCCCCGGCCGTGCTGGGGATCTCCTCGTTGGTCCCGCTTTGGGGTTGTGGTGGGTTGGCTTTGGCTGGACTCGCCCAGTTTCTCCGCCTCTCTCTTTTTTCCCCCTTGCGCTCCTCGGCTCAAGTGTGGGGTCCCTCCCACTGGAGACACTCCTCCACGAACTTCCCCACCGTGGATCCTTCCCACAGGCTGCAGCTCTTCACGAATCGCTCCAACATGGGTCCCCCGTGGGGTCACGGCGTCGTTCAGCGCCCACCCCCTTGCTCTGCCGTGGGGTCCTCCGCGAGCTGCAGGGTGGACATCTGCTCCCCCGTGGGCCTCCACGGCTGAGGACGTGGTGCCAGGCTTGCAGGAGGCTGGGTCAGTGATGGACTGGGACGGTGTCGTAGGGTGGTGGTGGGACCTTAAATTCCCACCTCTAGGTCTTGGACAGAGGAACTGTCCCTGGGTGGTGCTGGGGACACCTCCGTTCCTCCCACTCTGTGGGCACAGTTCAGGGTTAAGGCAGTGGCTCTTCATCCCTTAAGTCTGGCTTAACATTTGATAGTGAGTAGTTCTGTTCTGGTATAAATCACCCTTTACAAATGTGTTTTGGTTTGGGGTTTTTTTTTTTTTTTTTGTTTCTGGGATCATTCATTTTTAGCAGAAATGAATCTTGCCCAGAGTTATCTTGGAAACTGCACGTGGGTGCAGAGAGGAGTTGTTTGAGTTGTGAACTAGAACATATAGCTGTGCTGAGTCAGGGGAGGAAAAGCTGATAAAATATTCACCGAGAGTTTTCTGTGGCTCCAAAACTGCCTTAAAACTGGGAGGCTGAACCAAACGCGAGCTACTTGAAGTTTCAGATAATTTCTGTGCCAGCTCATACACCCGTCATCCTTGAACGTCTGTGGGGAAAACGAGGTATAAAGCCCTAAATCTGCCTAAAACCACCTCTGGATGTCTCCTGCTGCTTAAAATGTCCAGCCTCACTTTCTAATCAGTAGTTTTGTAGTAATATTGTAAGATATTAATCAATAGAAGTTGATTACTCTGCTCTTTGAAATATGGCAAAATACTTACAGTGTGGATGGTTTTTGTGGCAGCGGCTTATTCGCTGTGAAGTTGTGCAAAACCGTGTGGGTCTGTGGCCTTTTAAGCTCTGAAAGCAGGTGGGAAACTGCTCAGATCCCACCTGAACGTTACCTTTTTTCCTTTGAGCCGTGGAAAAACGAGCCTAGAAATAGCCGCTTTCCACAAAAAGTAGGGGGGACAGTGGGATAAACTTCCATGTTCTTCTCGCTGTCCTAGCTGCAGGGATATCCTGAAAGGCAAAGGGAGGCTTTGTGGTGTAGGGCATCAGAAGAAATAAAACTCTCCTGGTGTGGCAGCCGGCTGTATTCAGGGCCCAGAGCGGACTGAAGCGATGGCAGCGTTGGGCATCTGGCTCCCGAACTCGCGCTGCGGGGCACAGAAACGGTGCCGGGGGAGCTGAAACGAGCCAGGAAACGCCGGGGTAACATTCACACGGGTTGGGAGGGAAGTTAAAAAAAAAAAAAAGCAGCGGTCCCGGGTAGCTGCGGAGGTCAGGCCGGCGGCTGCAAGGCTGCGGGGCGCCGGTAAGGGCGGCGCGGGGGCCCGCGCTCCCCCGCTGCCGAAAGCGCCGGGGGGAAACGGGAAAATCCCCTTTGGCGCTTCCCCGCTGACCGAGATCGCGGCACGGGGGCACGAGCGGGTTTTAGTTCGGAGCCGAGGTGCGGCCGGCCTGTGAGCAGAGCCCAGATAACCGTCCCCGGGGCTGCGAGGCCAGGACTTCACGGCCCTGTTTCTGCAGGAGACGGCTTCGTTTTACAGTGGAAATGGAAATGCAGGGAGCTCGGAGGTGGGAAGCGACGCTGTGGGGTAAGGGTTGCAAATTCTCTTTCTTCGGATGTAAATAAATTCACTTAGAGCAGAAGGAGAGTAATTCCTGCGCTGGCAATGGGGATAAATACAAATGGTGAAGCTTTGCAGTCGCACGACTGGTGCGAGGCAGTTTTTGTAAGTCTGGTGCAGACGCGGTCACGCTGTGGAGGAGCTCAGGCCTCTGCCCTTGGATTCCATGGGGTGAAATGTCCCGTTTCTCGCAGAAATCGCTGCTAGGCGGCGATAGCGTCAAGGTCTGAGGGACGCTGCGTCCTGTACGACTTGTGGAAGGGTTCATGGTAGGCGCCCAACCTTCAGATCTCGTGGTATTTAGAGATATTTTACTTCTAAAATATTCTGTGGCCTGTCTTGGAATTCTTGTGCTGCTTCATGAAACAATTTCAAGAAGAAACAGCTCTGAAATTGTGAGGGGAAGGAGAGCTGGAACAGTTTGGTCAGTAGAGCGAAGCGAAGGAGGGAGGAAAAATAAAAGAGTTCAAGGTAAAAGTAAAATTCACATATTTATGAATCGGTATTTAAACACCACCACCTATTTCTAGACCTCGATATGTATAGGGAGATACCACGGTGGGGTTTTTCTCTCTCCTTTTTATACACTGATGTTTGTGCTGCTTCAGGCATCGTTTTTTTGAAGGAATTGCACCTAAAAAACCCAGCCTCCCTAGCTGAGGGTGTCTGAGGGAGGGTAAAATACGTCTCTTCCTACGCCTGGTCTGTGATGGGGTTTGGATGGAGACACGGCTCTGTGGATTCCAGTAATCCACTGCGGCATCCGGCGTGTGTGACCGTCGCCGGAGCCGTTTCTGCAGTGCCGGGGCTCGTGTTGCAGGTACCCGGCAGGAGAAAAGGATCTTCACCCTTGCACCCAGGATTCTGGGGCCTGGGTGTCTTGGATAAATCGATTGGATTTCACTCGCTGGGGTGTAAGATGGAGGCAGAAGAGGTCTGGACCACTTGAAAATCCACAGTGCTGTGGAAACACTTTTTTTTTTTAAGAAAAGCTTACACGCCATGGTATAATCCTGATAGCTAACCCCTGAAATATTCAATGACTGTGGCATAAATCTGCAGCTTTGCGAACAGTTGATTTTTTTTTTTCTTTTTTTTTTTAGTATCCCACTGCATGCTCTGAAAGTCCCCAGCTCCATCCAGCATCTTGCAGGAAATGAATCTGTCTGCACTACACCACCCTGTGCCGTTATTTGCCCCCTCAAATAATTGCAGCAATGAGGCAGAGGGAGCAAACCGCTGCTAGGAAGTTAGTCTTGTGGAGTAAGGTCAAACTCTGCACCCTCCTCGTTTGGCTTTTCCACTCCCTTCTGAAATGCTATTAATGATGATGGATGGCAACAAGCTTTCTGCTCAGTCTCTAATTAATAAAAGGTATTTTGGATGGCGTGGGTCTTGTAGGTGCAGGTAATTTCTGCTGGCTGCCGCTTTGTGAGCCCTGCAGCCAATCTGAGCCTGGACTTGGAAAACGCCAAGAGAAAATAGTTTGAAACCTGGATTACAGGAACAGCCGCCACCTCGGTGCCCCTCCACCACGTCATCCCCCTTTCATGCTTAGAATGATGCTGCGAGGCTTTTCCAAAAATTGCTTGACGAGAGTTGTTAGTGGAGGCAAGAGGATCTCAACTATCTCTTTTTTATCTTGGGTTTTAATAAAAACGTAACCACCTTTTTCCCTGCCCCCCCCCCGCCCCCCCCCCCAGGAAGTGTGGGATTTATTTTTATTCTAACATCAGTCAGTGGCTTGGGGAAAAAAGCTTATTTCATATTTTCCTCCCTGGAAAGTTTCTTGGATCTTGTCTTATTCTGCAGCACCCTCATTTCTTTTCTTACCTTGATTTCCCATCTCTGGGGGTAAGGCTTTTCCTTTACAGCCATTCAAGGACTCTATTTCTTCCTTTATCTTATTAAAAATCAAGTGTTTTCCAGTCCACCACCTTATTTTCCAACTAATTAAACCCTACTGCTTGTGTGTAAATAAAACAATATCAAAAACCTTTCCTGGTTTGGGTCTTTCCAACTTTCCCTTCATTAAACCATCATCGTTGCCCACGTGGAAGTGCTGATTCTCAATTCTGCTCCCAGTTTCCGTGTGATAACGGGATAATTATCATCTCTTTAAAGCAAAATAGGGACTTGAGGGGAAGAACAGGCACGTGCCAGCCCTAATCCGTCTCTGGGAATGTTTGACGTGGTTTCGTTATAGTGCGTGCCCAGGTCTTTGTTGCTGTCAGCCTGGGATGGACGGACGGACGGACGGACAGCCAGCCCCTTTGCTTTGTCTGTCTCTCTCCGGGAGGTTTCCCAGAAAGAACAGGGGGTGCGCTGACCTCTCGCCGGATTGTCCCCCAGGCTTTTGGAGCAGCTTCGTGGCAGATCGCTGGTAGCGAGGCGAGGCCGCTCTTCCCGGGGTGCTGGTGGCTGCGACCCCATTTATCCTTGTGCCGCCGTCGAGTTTGGGCACGGGGAAAATTCATTTCATCCACCCTGCCTGAATGTGAGGTGGGAATCGGCCCCTCGCTTGGGTTTTCTGGCTCGGGATGCGGCTCCTGAAATTGAGGACGGTGGGAGCTGCGCGAAGAAGAGGGAAAGTCCTTGAGCTAGGGTTAAACGTGATTTTAAACTGATACCAAGCAGGTCTCGTGGAGCAAATTCTACTCTTCAATCCTTCCCCATATTCATTGTGCTATACGAAAATAACCCTTAATAACCCAGGAGCCGGAAGCAAACTGCTTCTTGGGAATTTACAGATGAAACTCTCAGTAGCAAGGTTGATTTGTTGGAACTGTTCCCGTTGGGAGCAGCACAGGTTGGGCTGGGCTCCGGGAAGGCTCTCGGTGGTGTTTTAACAACATCAGCTGAGCACCCACGTCTTAGGTTGGGATGAAGCTGCCACGTTTTCCCAGCAGCATTCACCAGAGGCATCAACTAAAGCAGGTTAAAAAATCATTAATTAAGTCATAAAAGTAAAAATTACAAGGTTCGGAAGCGTTCGATGCACCGCTAGCCATTAATGTCAGCGCTCCCCCTTCCCCTCTGTCCGTCTGAGGCAGGGGATGGTCGTTGCACATGTTGATCCCCGTCTCCTGGCTCAGCAGGGTCAGAATTAAAGGGAGTGCTGGCCACCACAAATTTGTTAGTTATTCTTTTCAGCCGCTGGATTTTCCGGCCTAGCTGCTTTTTCTAGGCTATTTGTCGATAACATATCCTGGGGTGGGATCCGCAGTGATGCAATTTAACCGTGAATTTCAGTTTTACGTTTCATAGCACTGCGCTTTTCCTGCGATACCACCCCTGTCTTGGATTGTAGGGCTTGGGTTTGCCCTTACAAACCAAACTGCAGCTCATCCCTCCTGCCCCCCACAGAAGAAACCAACAACTTGCTTTGGGCTTTCAAACGCGGCTTTTGCGTCCTGCGAAGGGTTGGAAAGTTGCTTTTAGGCTGTGCCGCTGCGGGCAGAGTGAATCGGCGCTTCAGGGCAAGTGCCACAGGGGATGACTGGGGAAAAAAATAGAGATTTACAGGAGGGAAACGTTCAGCCCAAAACCAGAGGACAGTGCAGATCCCATTTGGTTTGTACTTACTGATCCCTTCCAGTGTCTGACCCCCGGGGAGCAGACTGTTTCCCCTCGAAGCACAAATAAATGCAGATCGCTTCATTTTTAGGACTTTTGGGGGGCGTGCCACTCTCTGCTAAGTTTTTATCAGCCAATTTTGCTGCTTGTCTGCTGAATCGCGCTGATTTGGGAGTGCAGGTGTACACCTGGTTGGCACGGAGAGTGGAGCAGCGGTGATCCGGTCCGGTTAGCCGAGCAGAAATGGGTTTAGGATTAAATTCAGTCGATAATTCACGCTCACACCTGCTCCAGCTTCAACTTGCTCTGGTACAATGAGACCGTTCCGGCTTCATTTTGCCTCTTGCGCATCTTAAAAGTTGTGTGTCTTCTAAAAGCGGGATTTAAATATTTCTATTTTCTTGAAACTAAAGTCGCTGTGGATCTGTCCAGCGCTGCAAACGTTGCTGTAACCTGCGTCTGGCTGTCTGCTCAATAGAAATAGTTGGATTTAACGTCCTTAGTTAAATGCCACCGTCTCAAAATGAGCAATTCAGAATGAGGTAAAACACATTTTCCCCTTCAGCAGCTCACCTTCCAGTCACTGTCCTGGATAACCTCAAATTTTAAAAAAAACCTACAAAGTCACTTTTTTCCTTGATAATGCTTATTTCTGTTTGGGTGTTTTTTAAGGGTTTATTTCTTATTTTTTTTGTTTAGACTGAGGCAAGAGAGGAGGAGGAGCATTTAGAGTGGTTTCTTCTGAATGCAGCTGCTTTTGGTTTCAGATCTCGGGATCTTTCTCGGTCGCTCCTTTAAGGTGGGTGGCAGTCTCCTTCAGGTTTTCCCCCGTTAGATGCGTGCGTACTGGTCCAGTGAATCCGCGATGGAATTTCTTTTCCATCAGCTCTGCTCACGCAGCTCTGCCTCTTATTTCCGTCTCAAACATCTGCCTGCTTAAACCAGCCTGCAATCGGCCATCTGCCCAAACAAAAAGCAGCATTTTCTTGCATATGCCACCCTCCTCGTGTCGTTATCCTCTGCCTGGTGTGACCGGTCCCCACCTTGGGTGTCCTCTGGAGCTAACCTCCCTCTCCGGGCCCGTGGCCACGTTCCTGTTCAGCCCATCAATACAGTGAATTTTCTAGATTCCTCCATTTTTTCCCCCAAGGTTGCCTCTGCTCCCCCCCGTTCCCATCTCCCCCAGCTCAGTTCTGGGGTAGAAGGAGGAGAGATCTTTCTGCAGGTCGTGGTCTCCTCCTCCTGGCCTGGCAGTTCCCTCTGCCGGCTCCCATGCCGCATTACAGCCCTTTCCCTTCCCGCCTCTTCCCCAGGGAAAGAAAAAAAAAAAAAAAAAACAAAAACAAACCAGGATTTTTTTTTTTTTTTTTTATGATAAGCAGTGTTAAAATCATGTGGATCCGGCCGGGCGCAGCGAGCGCAGTCCCGGTGAATTTGAACCCCTCCGTGCTAGACACCATCCCAGCGCGGTCTGTCCTCCCACATCTCATTTATACCTTTGCCTAACGAAGCGCGTAAACGTTAATCACGGTAATTAAGTAAGCATTCTTCCTGATTTTTCTCACATTGCCGTGAATAACTGTGTTGTCTCCTGCCGAACGAGAAGGTAGGGTGTGGGGCACGTCGGTCGGCTCTCAGCGCTACGCTTAGCGAAGGTGTTCTGGTCACCAAAGCTTGAGATGGTGCTACCTGTGGGTTTTCTTAATCTACAGATTAATGATTGTCGTCCTCTTAATTATTTTATTAATCTATAGATGAAAGTGGTGCTACACTTGGGTTTTCTTGAGACTAAGAAATAAAGAAAACCCAAACATAGCAGTATCTGTAGCACAATTGATAATACAGATTAGATTTCTAGTCTAACAGATTTCTAATCTGTAATATAGATTAGATTAAGAAAACGCAAACGTAGCACCACCTTCATCTGTAGATAAACGCAAACGTAGCACAATCTATAACACATCTTAGATTTCTAACCTAATACAGATTAGACTTCTTATATATAATACAAATTTTAAAAACCCAAATGTAGCAATTTCTAGTTTAAGAAAGCCCTAACACAGCATCCGTAGCACAATCTATAGCATAGAATAGATTTATAATTATACTTTACAGTAAAATCTAGATTTACAGACTCCGTCCTGCAACTCTTCTTTCTGATTTTGCTGCTGATTTTTACCCGCGGAGGTGACACGCGTCTGTCAAACCCAATTTCTTCAAACTCCCTGACGTTTGTCTTCCGTGTGAGAGAAGTTTCTCCGTACCAATAACTGTGTGTTTTTCCCTGGGAGTATCCCGAGCGCGCCGCAGTGGGGATATCTGCATTTCGAGTGAGAAATGAGGCTGGGGATGAGTTGGGGTGAAACCGCGCTCGCCTTTAGCTGAAGCCAGGCTGTGGCGAACCCTTGGCCCATTGAGATGGGCCGAGCAGCTGTTAAAAAATGAATTTTTCTGTGTTTTTGTGGTATTTTGGCACACAGGTGGCGTGATAATGTAAGAGAGGAGCCATAATGTAACTGCCAGGGCAGGGGGGAGGGTCAAAGCGTCCTTTTATTGGGGGAGAGAGGAGAAGAATGGTGTAAATCGGTGTATTTCCAGTTAATCCCTTAAAAAAAAAGTCACTAGAGTTTGAAAACTCAAGATAGGACCTCTCCAAAGGAGCAAGGAGACAGTGAAGAAGATGCATGATAAATTAAATAAGTGATAAATAAGGTACACGAAAAGAGAAGGGTAAATCTGATAGAAACACTTCTTGCCTGGATGGGTGGTTAGAGCCTTCACTTGGAAGGGGAAGGGGAAGAAATTAAACTGATGACGAAGTATTTTCCCCTCTCTAAAAAAACCAAAGGATTCCGTGGCTTGCTCTTCCGGCTGGCTCTGGGTGTGCTGTTGTACTAAGAGGGAGCAGAGGGAAATCAGGGGGTTGCAGTCCTTGAAATGATGAATTTCAGGAAGGAGTTTGCCCTAAAGGTGGAAAAATGCCTGGGAAAAACTTAAATCGGTGCCGGTTCCTCGTTTTTCTATAGGTGTCTCGTGTTTGCAGGTGTCTGTAGAGTCCTTTGCTTCACTGGACTATTGATGTACGTTAAAAACTATAGAATTCTCTGGAGGTAGCCTTCATTTCTGATGCCTTGGGTTGATGCCTCAGATTAATTGCTTTGTTTGTTTCATCAGATACAGTATCTAAAGGCATTTGTGCCTGAAGCCACGGAAGATAGATGGACAAGCCAAGCAACTTCTGACTCTGCATCATTTTCTGGGGCAAAATTATATGGCAATGTATCCTACAAGGTAATGTAGCCCCTTGCAGTGAGTAAAGAGGATTCCTTTTGCTTGGCCACCACTTGATAAGACCAGTTTTCTCACTCGAGCCCTCCTTTCACATGGGACCTAGAGGAATCAGCACAGCCCCGAAGCAAAATTCCTTGAATTTTGCAAGAGAGGGAAATCCAAATTGCCTCCGATGTTGTGGTTTGAGTCAGATCTCCCCTGCAGAGAGCGAGCAGGCTGCCCTGCTAACGGGGAGGAAACGCAGGAGCGAAATTTAAGCTGGGAGCAGAGGGGTTTCAGAGGACAGCTGAGCTCTCTGGACATCGCCCTCCTGCATCCACAGCTCCAGTCTCCCCGGGGAGCGAAGGGAGTCTGCTGCAGCGATCCTGCCGCTCAAGCGATGCTTCAACTCACTTGAAAAGTCAAAACCCATCGTCCAGTAGACCAAACTCTGATGTTGCCCTGGTGTATTGGGCAGTTGGGGTTAGGTTTAGGCCAGTAAAAGCAACGGACCGCAGACTCTAAGCAGGGCTTTAAGATTAGCTGAGGTTTTGTGGAGACTGGGAAGCAGCTGAGGGACCTGACAGGCAAAATTGCACGGATGCTTCATCTCTCTGGCTCTTTGTCCCTTGCCACGGTACGTGCAGAGGCCACGTCTGCGCCCCCAGACCATGGCCAGAGACATGGGGCTGCCCTACAGCATCAGAATAAAAACCCAAGCACGTGGCCAGATGCTTCTCGCGAGCCTGTACGTACCTACATACCCCTACAGACCAGCTCAAGGCCGAGCACGTGTTCGGAGGTGTGCTCCGCTGGGGTTAGCGCCTTGGCACCCCGTAGGGTTTTTTCCACATCACACACGGTTGGCACTCCTAAACCAAATCGGTTTTGCCCCAGTTGAGAAAGCACTCTAGCCCCACGAGCGGAGGGTGGGGAACGTCTCTTCCTCACTTTCCCCTGGGTGTCACTCGAAACTGGTGAATAACAAGGCTCTTAGTTCATCTCACGCAATATATTCTCTAATTAACAGCCGCATGTCTTGAGCTTAACGTGTGCTGCATGTGCTCAGCGTTCAGTTAGACGAGGGACGTGTGTCACAGCGGGTGTGTTCACACGAGGAAGGTCCCACACGCCCGGGGGGGGGGGGGGTCACCCCGTGGTGGTGGGGAAGCCGCCGGTTCGCAGCGGCTGGTGCTGGCTGGGTGCTGACCCCTTCACGCAGCCGTAGCTCAAGGGTGACGGGCGGGCTGCATGTGGTCTTTGGAGAGCTCTGAAAGAGCTGGGGGGAGGTCCGTGGGCTCAGCAGAAATGCCTTTTTTCCCAAGTTTCTGGGCTTCAGGATGATACTTAAATTAGCTACCTAAAGATTATTTAAATTAGCCACCTAAATTATCTGCTTTAAGATTACCTAGGTGATCTACTTTAGGAATATCTACCTAGGTGATCTACTTTAAAAATATTTACCTAAAGATGGTCTACCTAGATTATCTACTAAAGATTGTCTACTTCATTTAACTGCATAAAGTTATTATCTTTAACTGCCTAAAGATTATCTACCTAGGCGATCTATCTATAGATTATCTGCCTGAATTATTTACTTTCAAATTATCTGCCTAAAGGTTATCTACCTAAATCACCTATTTAACTATCTAAAGTTATTATCTACCTAGATTATCTACCTAAAGTTACTATCGACTGAAAGCAGGTAGTGTGAATTAAATGTGGCTCTGTCCACTGTGTGGTTCAGCCGAAGCATCCCGCGGAAGCCCAACGTTCACCTAAAAGACAGACTTTGGCATTAAATTGGGGTGAGCTGACCCGTGGGGACTGCCGGGAAGCTGAAAGGAGATAAATGGGACCCCTGGAGCTCCTTTAGCTGGAGCTAAAGGTTGGCCAACACCGACTTGACTTGTCTTCTTGGTGTTGGCAAACGCAGCCCTGGAGCTGAAGCTGGTACCTGCTGGGAGCGAGCGGCCTTTGCTGGCTGGAGCCCCGTTTAGAGGCGGCGAAGGCTCTGTGGAGACCTTTGGGGTCCTCCTTGGCCAGCTTCGGCGAGAGCAGGGCTAACGCGCGCGCTCGCTGAGGAGCAGAGCGGCGACGCTGGCGCCTGGCGTGGAAGACTCTGCGGATTGCCTGGGACTATCCTTTCTTCCCCGGGGATGCGGAATGCTGACCTCATTTGTTGTGACAACCCAGCGCTGTCCCTAAGCGGGCAGGGCGCAAGGTCTAGTTGCCTGAGCTAGTCTGACGGAGGTCCGCCGGTTTATTTTTAAGCAGCGCCTTGTACCAGAAGCCTGGGATTGAAGTGACCTCGTCTCCCTTCTCCTTGTTCTGCAGGGTGTCCGGTGAGGAATGCAATGGGATCAATAGCATGTCGGCGGAGAGCGGCCCTGGAACGAGACTGAGAAATTTGCCGGTGATGGGGGATGGACTAGAAACCACCCAGATGTCTACGACGCAGTCACAGGCTCAACCCCAACAAGGCAGTGCTGTAGGCGTCAATCCCCCTCCACCGGAGACCTCCAACCCCAACAAACCCAAGCGCCAGACCAACCAGCTGCAGTATCTGCTCAAGGTGGTGCTGAAGACGCTATGGAAGCACCAGTTTGCGTGGCCTTTCCAGCAGCCCGTGGACGCCGTCAAGCTGAACCTCCCTGTAAGTAGAGATGGAGGAGTGAGACCGTTGGGGTCTGGCACCCTCTGAAATCACCGAACCTTTCTTTAACAGTTGGTCTCGGTGATCTAGCGGTTGGACTTGGTGATCTAGCGGTTGACTCGGAGATCTAACGGTTGACTTGATGATCTAATGGCTGGACTCAATGATCTAACGGTTGGACTTGATCATCTTAAGGGTCTGTTCCAACCTGAATGTTTCCATGATCTCTTAGAAAATACACAAGGAGGAATCTCCAGTGGCTCAGCTACTGCTTTGCCCCTTACCACCCTCCTCTTTCTACCAGGACACCAAGAATTAAATAGGAATAGTATATCAGAAGTTAGGGAGGGCAAGTCTGCATCCTGTGTCCCCCAGCCAAGCACCCAAAATTATTAAACACCCAACATTTGTAAGTGCCAAAAGCTAAACACCAGAAGTTAAGTGCCAAAAGTTAAACACCAAAAATTTGTAAGCGCCAAAAATAATTAAGCCCCAAAAATAAGTAAGCACCAAAAATTATTAAGCACTAAAGCTTATTAAGCATCAAAAATTATTAAGCATCAAAGATTGTTAAGCAGATCATCATCAACTTGGGCTCTGCCTTACGGCTCCCCAAAGCCCAGCCCACTTTTCTGTGCCTCGCTTAAACCCTTGCTTGATCTCCGCTGCTTTGTCAGCAGAGTCTTTTTTTTTTGGAGATGAAAACACTCGGAGCCTTTCGCGGAGCATCCGAGTACTCAGCTGACCACTGTGCCTCGTGCCTCGCGGCGCCGGCGGTGACACACAAGCCGTTTCATAAGGGACACTAATTCTAAATTAATTTGCAGTAAACGGAGGGGATCGAGTGCACCCTCGGTAGGTTTGCAGGTGACACCCAGTTTGGGTGGGAGGGTTGATCTGCTGGAGGGTTCCAGAGGGGGATCTGCACAGGCTGGAGCGATGGGCCGAGGCTCGAGGAGGCTGGGTGCCGGGGCCTGCACCTGGGCAGCTGCCCGGCGGAAAAGGCCCTGGGGGTGTCGGTCAGGAGCCGGCTGAGTACGAGCCAGCGGCGTGGCCAGAAGGGCCAACGGCATCCTGGCTGGTGCCAGCAGCAGGGTGGCCAGCAGGGCTAGGGAAGAGCTCGTCCCCTGTACTGGTGGGGCCGCACCTCAGTACTGGGGTCAGGTTTGGGCTCCTCGTGGCAAGAAAAACATCGAGGTGCTGGAGCGTGGCCAGAGAGCGACAAAACTGAAGGGTCTGCAGAACAAGGAGAAGGGACCAGAGATTTATGAGGAGCAGCTGAGGGAACTGGGGTGGTTTGCTTTGGAGAAAAGGAGGCTCGGGGGGGGCCTTATCCCCCTCCACAACTACCCAGAAGGAGGCTGAGGCGAGGCGGGGGTCGGGCTCTTCTCCCAGGTGATAGGATGAGATGAAACGGCCTCACGTTGCGCCAGGGGGTGTTCACACTGGATATTAGGAAAAATTGGCTCACCAAGAGGGTTGTCAAGCATTGAGATGGGCTGCCCGGGGAAGGGGTGGGGTCACCATGCAGACATGGTGCTTAGGGCCATGGGGTAGTGGTGGACTTGGCAGTGTTGGGTTAACGGTTGGACTCGATGATCTTCAGGATCTTTCCCAACGTCGGTGATTGTGTGACTCTGAATTGGCACAGAAGCCTTTTCCTGCTGCCCAAGGGCGGCGCTGCAAGGGTGGGAAAGGGGACGGTGCAGCCCTTCCCAGCGCTCCCTGCCTCGCCCTGGGCACTGTCGCCAGGAGGTGGAATAAACCCCAAAGCACTGGCAGAAAGCAGATTGTAACTTAGAGAGCGTTGATTACAGTAAACCCCAGCAGCATCTTTTCTGCTGTACGTCTGGTTCGGACCCTTCCAGCTCCCACCAGGAGAGGTTTGTTCCCTCCCTCCCCTGAGAGATATTTCCCCATAACACTCACTTCCCTTGTCTGTTGTACCTTTAAGATAGAATACCTCCAAACAGATAATTATTACCCAAATATTAGGTTATTTAATTTCTTCATGGCAGGAACAAGCTCCTTGTTGCACGTGGAGCACACCGGTTCTGTAGCAATGACACTTCCAGCCCTTTTTTTCCATAAACATTATGCCTAAAAATAGAAACACCTTCTTTTGTATTAATCCGTTTAAGGATGCGTTTAAGGGGCTGTAAGAAATCTGATTTCCCCACTTCTCGTGTCACTACTTTAAACGTGTGACCTCCTGCGAGGGGTCATTCGTTTCCCATAACATTTTTAGAAATTATTTGGCACCATGAGCAGCCAAAAACCCAGAATTGGAAAATTGTGGTGCTTCTGGGACTAAGTTACTCCTCCACCAAGGGTTTGTCCTTCTGTTTAATGTCAAAATCCTGGCTGAGAGGCTGGTGGGGACTAAGTCTGGCAGCTAAACACCTGCTGGGCTTGGAAGGTCTCACCCGGGTGGGTCCGGGGACGAGACAGACGAATCCTGGTCCTTCAGCTTGATGGGTGTTTTAGTTCCCACACTGACCTCTCCCTTTTTCCCTTTGCAGGATTATTATAAGATAATTAAAACTCCGATGGATATGGGAACAATAAAGAAACGCTTGGAGAATAACTACTACTGGAATGCTCAAGAATGTATCCAGGATTTTAACACGATGTTTACAAACTGCTACATCTACAATAAGGTACGCAAAGTTCCCGAATCTGCATTTTTCCAAGGGAAATCTTCCACATCCTCCAAGGAGCGGTGCAGAAATGCAAGCGTTGGCTTGTTCAAACCGTCCTTAAAAGGAGCCACTGCTGAGGTCAGCTTCTTTGGGAAAACAAACGGGATTGAACCGGCGGGAGCTGCAGCACGTCTGCCTTCTGCCGAGAAGCGGGACGCAGACAGGGCTGGCTTAGCAGCCTTCCCTCCTAGCAGAATTATTAGCAGATATCTTCAGTCTAGACATTGTTTCTTATTTTTTTTCTTAAAAGGAAATCTTAATGATTTTTTTAGGGTCTGACTTGAGCAGAGCCTCAGATGTTAGCAAATACTTGAGAAGTCCGTGCTTTGTACGTTCTCTGGCTTTGTTTAGAAACCAACTTTAAAACTGAAGCTGGTTTAAAACTGAAATCTGGTAGGGAAAAAAAAACCAGGGATATAGAGAGCTTGTCATGCCTGACCTTGACCTCGTAGAAGATTCCCCTCCAGACAGCAAGAAACATCCCAGGAACCATTTTGTAAACAGTTGCGCAACCTCCTGGCTTGCGGGAAAGAATATCTGGAGGGGTGAGGAGCATCCCAGGGCATTTCCACAAACGGTGGGGGGGGGGCAGTGGCCTGTGCTGGCCAAGCCCGGGGGGGTCAGAGAAGGTTCTCAGAGGTGGACTGGGCACGAGGTGCTCGCTCGGTATCTTCCTGAGGAGTTGCTCACGGCTCTTTTCTCCGTCCCTGTTGCTTCCCCCTCGCATGCTTTGACCTTTTGCCTTCTCCGCTCAGAAAGATTGCGCAAGACCTTTCTCGTTTGTCCCAGTAGTCGTTAGAAGTTTTGGTCCTTCAAAACCAGCTCCTTGGCCATGGCCCTGTCTGGTTTGAGCCAGCATGATGCAACTTGGACAAGGGTAGGCCCTTAATGACTTCAAATTACTCGTGTGTTCCTTAAAGTCTCCGGCCATGCTCTCCCACCGCGGCGTCTCTCCTGTGCCGGCTTTTTCCCCGATCTTCGCCTGGTCTGCTCCAGGCTGGAAGGCAGCAGAGCATCTAAAGAAACAGCTCTGTGGACCTCACGGAGCCTGCAGGCCATCGGCCGGGCAGGTCTGTGCGTGCCATCCGCTGAGCAAGAGTGGTTTTAGCCGGCCCTGTGCCGACGGCAGAGCCGGAGCTACCTTCTCCTGGCGTCACCGTGTCGTGACAGCAATGGCCGTCGGGTTTTCGGCTTTACGTCAGTCCAGCCTCCTCTTCTGTTGCTTCCTGCCCTTCGCTCTCTGTCAGATTTTATGCCTATCCACAAAACAACTCAAACCTTCATATTGCTTGTCCCTTCTCGCCTGCAGTGCTGCAGGGCGCCCCTGGGCAGAAGATCTCACCCTCTCTAGACGTTCTCCTTTCTTTTTGCCTTGACCTTTGCAGATACAAAGATCCAGATCTCCTCTGGATCCGTAAGGACCGCTCAGTGCCATCCTCTCCTTCCACACCAATTTAGCAACAAGTAGAGGATCCCATCAGTCAGCTTCCTCCTTAAAAACCTCCTTTTTCAGGCAAGAAATTTCCTTGCAAGGTCATGCCGAGCTCTTCTTACCCCCTCCCCTGATGCTCTACAGAGACACCTCTTCCACGAGACCCACCAAGTCAGGGGCATCTCACGTGGTGGAAACGACCGGCTGGCATTAATCCAGCTCTTTCTTTTTCCACTTTTTCCCTCTTTTCTTTCCTCCCTTCATTGGGAAATAGCCTTTGCCGCATGCAGGTAACACCTCGCGTGGGTTTATTCTCTGATACATCGCCTCGGTGACGTCACTGCCCATCATCTGGTTCTACCGATAAAGTACAAGGGCTTTAGGGCGAGGATTTGTCCTAAAATGAGACAGACCCCATGTGTCTTTCCGCTGCACCGTAATGGAAATAGCAGCACTAAGGAAGGTGAAAATGCAAAGTCTTCTCTTTGGAAATGTTTTCAGAGAGAAACTTTCAATACATATTTATATAAATGCATATATCTCCATACATGCCTTGCCTAATTTGTTGTGTCTGCTTTTCCTCCAGCCAGGGGATGACATAGTCTTAATGGCAGAAGCTCTAGAAAAGCTTTTCCTGCAGAAGATCTCCGAAATGACCCAGGAGGAAACGGAAATCGTTATAGCCCAGACGAAGGGAAGAGGACGCGCGAGGAAGGAAGCAGGTACGATGCTGGTTCGTACAACGTCCGTGCTTAAACCACGCTCAGCTTCACGCAGTGTCTTGACCTTTGGAAATCGGGGTGTTAGTTTAACTGAGGTGTTCATTAAAGGCAGCCGTCCTTCCAGGGGGTCGCCGTGGCCGGCGGTGTGTTCCCGGTGCTCCCCTTTGCTGCGTAGCCAGTCCCAGGTTGGGCGGGCGGGGAGGCGGGTGCCTCGAGCTCTTGCCTGTCTGCGGGGAGAGGCCGGGCTGTGTGGTGGCTGCAGAGTCCTTCATCCGCGGCTTCTGGGCGCTGCCTGGGGGAGGAGGCGTGCTGGGGACAGACTGCAGTGCGTACAGCGCGGCGAAGGCACGTGTAGTGCTAACGCTGGTGAAACTGCACATTCCCGGCTTTTCCGTGAGGGTAAAAAGCTGGGAGCGTTGGTAAAAGTGTTTCATTTCTGCTGTTGGGCAGCCGAGATGGTGAAATAGCCCCTCGCAGTACCTCAGGGGTAAAGTCCAGCTGTTTGAGTTCTGTTGTATCGGACCCCTTCGAGCTTCCCAGCCGCTCCCCACGGCCTCCGGGGTGGAGCCTCTGTCCCCAAAAAGCTGCGAGGAACCGGTCGCAACGTGCCGGCTGCGGCCCGGCGGAGGAATCCTGGTGCAGAGAGCGTCTGGAAACAGTGCCAAGCGTCACAACCCACCCCTGTCCTCTGGAGAACTTCCTCGGGTTAAAATTCCCACACCTCGTGTATAAATTTTGTGATGGTTGGGGGTAGAGAACGATGTGTGATGAGCTTACGGCCCTTCGAAGGGACACGCCACCCCAGGCGAGGTGGAACTCCGCTCCCCACACTTTGTGCAGACCTGACCTGGGCTCGGCCAGAAGCCCAGACCCCCCTTTTTTTTTTGTTGCAGACTGACTGATTAATTTACCTTGTCTTGCTCTTTTTTGGGGCTGAAATATTAACCTGCACAATTTAGGCTCTGCATGAAGTTGCACCGCAGCAGTTTGAACCCCATTTAAGGTTCTAAATTGGTAAAATGACATTCTGTACTTGTGTCTGTTGGTCCCTTAAGACTTCAGGTTAATGTGAAGGCTTTTTTTTTATTTTATTTTTCTTCCAGATTATTAATTTACAGGATCCAAAAGTACCATTTTTCTCATTTAATCCGATCCTCTCTCTACTACGTGTTACAGAAGCACAGTTCAACCACCGATTCATTTATTTACAGTCCGTCTTGTAGAAAAACATCTAATATAGTGTGAATAAAAAAAAATATCTGCTGGCATCTAGAGGAGGAGCACGCTAACCAGCTGCCAGGTTAGGGATTTTCCTGAAATGCCTCTGGTCTGAACTCTGCAGCACCATCTCCTCTTTAAATAACTTTGTTACATTGAAGGCTCCCCTGGTTTTGAATCTGTGTTCTCCATACTAATCAGATTTTTTTGCTGCAAGCAATTTTTTCCAGTCTTTTAGTTCTCCTTTACAGCTCTTCCATGAACCTTCTCCAGTATTCCACATCAATAACTGTGGACACCGTAACTGCACGTAGATGTGACTGCTGCTAGGGGTAAACCAGCCCTTTGATCCCCCTGTTTATACCTCGAGGTTTTCATTAGCTCATCTTTGGGGGATATCAACTGTTGACCAGGCTCGACGTCGCGTGCCAACGCTGTCAGATCATTCACCGAAGGGTTGAGAACATCCCGGCCGTGAAGTGATCTCGGTGGCTCCTCATCCAGATCCCCTGCTTAATTTTAAACCTCTTTCCTCTTTGTTCTTGTATCATTCCCGTTCTTTTAACCCAAATGCTGTGCGATACTGAGGAAAATGTCACATGCAGGAGCATCCCTGAGCTTGTGTCACCAAAAAAAAAAGTACTTTGACCATATTTCCTGCGTGTGAGCTGGCGTGAGCATCCCGCAAGCCTTGAATCCTCACGTCTCATCTTGTCTCAGCCTCGGACTGGCGGTGCTGGGATCCCAGCGGGTTATTTTCCAAGGTTTACTGGAAAACCAGCAAACGTCCAGGGAGCTTGAGAGTCAACTCTCAGAGGGTTTGAGAACCAGTTGTCAGGGTGATAGAGAAGAAAGGGGACTTTGGTAGTTACTGTTGAACGTCCTCGGTGGCTGTTGGAAGAGAAAACCTTTGTGTAGTGCCCTCACCCGGACAGCAAGTGCAAATTCAGAGCAGCAGTATTTACTAAATCCACTGAGTCTTCCCCAATTTACTACTGACAGTTGTCCTCTTTCTACGAAGAGGGGCTTCATACCATTTCCAGAGCACCTTTTTGTCTAAAACACCAAGGAACAAAAAAAGGGTCGTAAAGCCAAACATCTCAAACATCATAAAGCCAAACATCTCAGACTACTTTCGCTATTTTGGCTTTATTTTCTTTCCCCTTCCCGTGGCAGTTTTTCACTGTCCACATCTCTCTCTCCATTGCAGGACTCTGCTTCTGTCCATGCGTGTTTTTCTTGCACAGCTCTAGTTTGCCTTCTCTCCATGTCATTGAGTCCTTTTGCCTTCCTGAAATCCAGGTTTTGAAGCACCAACAAACCCAATTTATGGGTTTTTCTACACATGACCAAGCTGTGATTACTTGTAGCTGAGATTTTTTTTTTTTTTAGACACTTTCCCCGCTACTCCACTACTGTGTGCAGGGAGAAGCTCTCCTTGGTTAGAAAATTATTGGCCATCACCTTTCTCAGCATCTCTTTGAAGGAGAAGCGATGGAGTCACCCACAGAGATCTTTTTACCTACACAGCGTAGCAGGGCGTTTACAAACTAGAGTTTTCTTCCCTCTCTGCAACCCTGTAGCACACACAGGGTCTTCACCTGTAGGACTGACCAGCTCTCCGAAGGGAGCCCTGGGTTCAGCTGGAAACTGTATCACACGAGTAGCCTGGGGCATCCCACACCCCCTGCCTCTGTGTCGTGATTTACTACACAGAGTAATATAATAATAATTATATGTAGTAATCTAATAACTGTGTGCTACCTGGAAATCTATTCAGGGACCTGTAAGATCATTTTCCTCTAGTCTGCCACCCCTCCTGTTAAATCATACTGTGCACTAAATTCAACGTAGAATAACCAATTTGGGGTTAAATTATTAAAAACCAGGTGTGATGCTGGCTGGAAAAGCTTCGCTGCAAAACCCCCCCCAGTTCCTAATAGAAATCTCACGAGTCCGCGTAAGGCAGGAGGTGGAATGCGTTGGCTTTGCCTGAGCAATGCAGAGCTGCTGCACGGTTCCAGCAGGACCCATGGGATCCCAGCAACAGGACCACAGGATCCCAGAATGACCCACGAGATCCCAGCAGGATTGTGGGGTTCCATCAGGACCCACGTGATCCCAGCAGGGCCCACGAGATCCCCACAAAACCAAGGGATCCCAGGAGGACCCTCAAGCTCCCAACAAGACCATGGGATCCCGGAAGGACCCACTAGATCCCAGCGGGACCACGGGATCCTGGAAGGACCCACTAGATCCTGGCGGGACCGTGGGATCCCACCAGGACCATGTGATCCTGGAAGGACCCACTAGATCCCAGCAGGGCTGTGGGATCCCACCAGGACCACGGGATCCCAGAAGGACCCACTGGATCCCAGCAGGACCATGGGATCCTGGGAGGACCCACTAGATCCTGGCAGGACCATGGGATCCCGGTGGGACCACGAGATCCCAGCAGGACCCATGAGATCCCAGCAGGACCATGGGATCCCACCAGGACCACTGGATCCCAGAAGGACCCACTAGATCCCAGCAGGACCGTGGGATCCTGGAAGGACCCACTAGATCCTGGCAGGACCATGGGATCCCAATGGGACCACAAGATCCCTGAAGGACCCACTAGATCCCAGCAGGACCGTGGGATCCCAGTGGGACCACAGGATCCCACAAGGACCTACAAGATCCCAGCAGGACCCCTGGGATGCCTTTGGCCACGCGTCCCCACCCTGCCTGGCGACATCAGCACTCGGCCGTCGTTGTGCCGGCGGGACGGGGCGAAAACGCCGGGTTTTCCTCTCTGAACGCGTTGCTGTTTGGTCGCCAGGGGCAGTCGGGTCGCTCGCGGCCGCAGCTGAGCGCCCGTTAGCGCACAGCGTGTCTCTAGCGGGATTGCAATCACTGCAGCTCCCGGGGACCGACTGGAAGCAGATGTGGCTGCATTTCATTTCTAATTACTTATTTTGGGGGAGCGATTCCTGGAGGAGGTGTGGGAGAGCCGGCGGGGCAGGGCACGAGGCTCGGTGAAGGAGCGGCTGGTCCCCCGTCTCTGCAGGCTGGGACTGAGCACAGCTCTGATCGAGCGGTGGGATTTCTCTCTGCCGGGGGTGCACGTAAAGGAGAGCCCCCATGTTTGGAGAAACACCGAGCTCTCTTCTTGCTGAAGACGTAAATCTGATTATTGCTAACGAGCTGCGGTTGACTCCTGCCGGCAGGTGCTCCTGGAATACCTGCTGATCCCGAACCTTCTCCAGACCCGAGGCTGACCGCGCTTTCCCGATGACCTCCATTGGAAGGTCTGCTGGAAGCACGGTGGTGTGGCCCAGCATCACCCACGCTTCGCAGCGTTGCCCTTTGGAGGGTGTTCCAGCACTCGGGGAAGTTGGGAAGCTTGGTCAGAGCTTTGCCCAGCACAGCAGCAGCAGCTCCAGCTCCAGGTGACGTCCCCGGGGACACTGGCAGATCCAAGGACAGAACTGACATTGCCCAACTCACGTCCCAGCCTCTACAGTTGCTCCATGTTTGAAATCACCTGACAAGGACCTCGCTCTCCAGCCGTCAGGAGAGATTTTTCCCCCGGACAGTAGCAGCTGCGATGACTTAAATCACCAAGAATTAAGAAACTCTTCTTGATAACGGAGCACAAAGTTGCTCCTGAAGGAAGAGCCGCCCAGTTTTGGCTCCAGAATGCTGACAGTCAGTGACCTTTGTCTAGGAGAAAAAAAGGGTAGTCAGGAAAAGAAGTGCTCAACTCCTTGCCCTGGCTGCAAGAATCTTTTGGGAAGGGGAAGGGAAGAGAGGAGGATGCGTTTGGTGTGATCTTGGTCTTTTTCTGGAGGGGTTTTGGCACAGTTGGGTCCTGAGCACCTTCACCATTTCACCCAGCGAGCCCTGAAAATAATTCTCATGAAGGAAAATGTGGCGAGTGTTTGTCCCTGCCTGGTTGCGCAAGAACAGGAACTGCAAGATACTAATTATCTAATGAGGGATGTTCTTTAAATGGTGTTATTGTGAAACATTAATTGGTTTTCCCGTTAAAGCAACTTAAGTTTGAGGGGAGAAGCAACCCTTTCTTTCTTTTCTCTTGGCAGTGACATCCAAGCCAGGATCATCCACGGTACCGAACGCAACCCAGGCGTCGTCCCCGGCGCAGACACAGGCGCCGCAGCAGAACCTCCAGTCGGTGCAGACGACTCATTCCTTTCCTTCCGTCACCCCCGACCTCATCGTCCAGACCCCGGTGATGACGATGGTGCCTCCTCAACCTCCTGCGCCGCCTCCGTCTGCTCCCCAGGCCCCCGCGCCGCCCGCCCCAGCTCCCCAGCCCATCCAGCCTCACCCTCCCGTTATCCCAACGCCCGCCCAGCCCGTGAAGGTGAGCGATCCCTTCGTTTGCTTAACGTGAGGGCTTAAATTACCCTCACAGCGTGGAAGCGCTGCCGGTGGTCAAGTGGTGGCCCTTTGCGTTGCTGCTGGAGTCTCGTTTTACGGCGAGTGGCCGTGGTTTGGTCAAAAAATTAATGTTTTGAGAACGCTTCTTTCTCTCCGCTGAGTAGAAAAGGAGCCTGTGGTGACCCTCTCTGAGATGGGTTTAAGTTAGACTCGATGAATTCTACCCAGGTTTGCGTGGAAACCCCGTTCATCCTCCTAAAACCTTCCTCCGGTGAGCTTTGTATGACTCAGGAAGAAAATCTTGACTTGCCCAAGTGACTCGTGCCCTGGACCTTTGCTGGTGCCAGAGATAATCCATATGTTTTTCTGTAGAACTCAGTACAGGTCCGCGATATCTGAATATTTCTGGAAGGGCTTCCAGTGTCCTTCGTGTAGCATTGCTGTGAGGCTTGAGTCCCTAGCGGTGGCGAATCCCGGTCAACGCTACAAGAAACGCAGCTCGATTGAAGCCAAAAGTATGATGCCGAAAGTAATATTGCTTTATTTGCTCGGTTATAGACGAAAAAAGGGGTGAAGAGGAAAGCAGACACCACGACACCAACAACCATCGACCCAATCCATGAATCGTCATCGCTGCCCACCGAACCCAAGTCCACCAAGCTGGGTCCACGCCGGGAAAGCAGCCGCCCGGTGAAGCCTCCAAAGAAGGACGTTCCCGACTCTCAACAACACGTGGTAGAAAAGAGTAGCAAAATATCCGAGCAGTTAAAATACTGCAGCGGGATCATCAAAGAAATGTTCGCCAAGAAACACGCTGCCTACGCCTGGCCCTTCTACAAACCTGTGGATGTGGAAGCACTGGGACTGCACGATTATTGCGATATCATTAAACATCCCATGGATCTGAGCACAATCAAAGTAAGCTCAGCTTTATAGGAGGGGGAGGTCGGGGGCTGAGCAGAAAAAAGATGGTTTTCTCCCCGCGCGTGCGCATCAGGTGTCTTCAGATGTCTGCCAGATTGATTTTGGCTGGAGGTTTCTGGTACATTCGGTCTCTCTTGTTCTCTCGCTGTTATCGTGACATTTGGGGAAAACAAACAAGCTGGCATCCTTCCAGAAGGGCTCTGGGGAAATGCTCACACGGGGTTTTTTATAGAAAATTTCCATTACTGTATAAATCTACCCTTTTATTTTAGCCCAGAAGGTGGCCCCAGAGAGCATAGATCACAGGCATTAAGGGGATCGGATTTAAAAGGGAAAAAAAAGAAAAATTATTTTTAAAATAAAGGCACATCTTTCTGAAGTTGTCTGTCTAAATCAGTCTTCTGTTAAGCACAGGTAGTTCCCTCTATTTTAAAAATGCTTGATTTTAAAGAGTGACTGCAAATTCATCTGCATTTCCCCTTGAAACATTAATTCGTTATTGGAGTTGTTTAATTTTAAAAAGCAACTGCAAAGGCATGCATATTTCCCCTCAAAAAGTAAATTTGTGATTTAGAAGTCTGACTTCTTAGCTAGGAAACCTTAATTCCTTATTTAGAAGCCTTTAACTTTTTAGTTACCCCGTGTTAATTCATGATTTCACAGTCCAACTTTAGCTGTGAAACCTTAATTCGTTATTTAGGAGTCTTTAACTCTTTAGTTCTCAAACCTTGACTCGTTACTCAGAAGCTGTAACTCGTTAGCTATGGGATGCACTCACATGCGAGCAGTCCAGGCTCAGCTCTAACTCCCGCTTCGCCCAGGTTGGGCCTGCGCTTTAAAACCAGCGGGGAGGGAGTTTGCCCTTCCCGCAGCCCACTCCTTGCCAAGGTGACACCCGGGCTGAAGCCAGCCAGGATCGTGGCTCTTCCTCCGTCACGGCGTTCTGGACATGCGGGGTCTCGGTGGGCCAAACCTTGGGGCCGCCACATTAAATTCTTGGCTTTGGCTTTCTCCTCCGGAGCGGCCAGCGATGAGCGTTAGGTCTTGCACGTCCGTTGCTGCGCGTCCGTCTCGCTGCCCAGCTGTCTGGCAGGGCTGCGTGCCTGAGGTCACCCTTGGCAGATGTTGCCCAGACAGCTGCCGAGCGTTCTCCCTCTTCCAGTTGTCCAACTCAAGCCCGTTTTCCCAGGGAGGGAGAAGGAGGCGTGAAGCTTCTCTTGGCTCAGCTGGCGTTGCCACAGCTGGAAGCGGCGTTTGGAGGGGTGAGGGACCATCTCAAGGCTGTCCCCACCTGGATCAGTCCTCCCAGCTCCACGCAGGCTTGGCGCAGGAGCACGTAGCCGTAGAGCAGGTCTGTGCCCTCCTACGGCGGAGGTCCGAGCTCGAGAGACACCAGCTGGGCTCCTGGAGGAAGGGTGGATGGTTGGAAGCAAGTGAGGTGGTTGAATCCTGTCCCCTGCCATCGCTGGGTGGGGGACCATCCTGGTGTCCTCAGTCCCTCCAGCCAGCTGCACCATTAAGGCAGTTCTTGAGACCTTCCCTCTTGGGGAATGATCTGAGCCAAGTTCACCCCATTCTTCTGCTAACGCACGATCTTGAGCTCACGCGGAGGTTTAGCCCCTCGTGGTTGAGGGCAGGTAGAGCCGAGGTTCGTCCTCCTGGCCTCCAACACCACTCTCACCACCGGGCTCCAAACCCAAACCACCTAGCTGCTGTCAGCCACGCAGGCAGCAGGAAGGTGCCTTGGAGAGCACGTGGTCCTTTGGCCATCACTGAGGATGCCCCTAGTCAGCTCTTCTTGTTTATAAACCATCCATGATCCTTTGGCCAAAAGTAAGTCGTTGCAGTGTAGGGAGAAAGCAGCTGCACGAGATCCGTGGGCACCGCGGAGCTTTATTCACTCGATCGATGGATTTGTTGTATTTGCGCTTCTAATAGCAGCGAGTTTTGTTGTTGTTTTTCTTCTCCTCTCCTCTCCCTTCTAGTCTAAACTGGAGAACCGGGAGTACCGAGATGCTCAGGAGTTCGCGGCGGACGTGCGATTGATGTTCTCCAACTGCTACAAGTACAACCCCGCGGATCACGAGGTGGTGGCCATGGCACGGAAGCTGCAGGTGAGGACGCGCGGGGTTGCAGCCCGCTTTGGGTTTTGAGGAACACCGGCGTCTCTCTGCCATTCATTCTTCCAGCGTAAGGGCCACGTCGTCTTGAGAGAGCGTTAGAAAAAAGTCAGCGTGGTGGATAATGGTTAAAAAAGAAAAATGATGCTTTCTGCTGTGGAAGTGGCGCAAGGCGTGGACTGACTCAGCCCAATTTGCTTCTTTAAAGTCATTTAATAGCGTCTTTTTTGTGTCCTCTTAGCTTTTTGATGAGTCGGAAGGAAAAGCACATCTCCAAAATGTCACTTTTCTCTCCAGAACACCGAGAAAGAAAATAAGTGGCAGCACCTGCTTGGCTGTGCTTTTTTAATTCCCTCTGCGGTGAAGTGTTCTGCTCTCGGCCTGTTCCCAGAGAGTTTGTAACTAACGAATTGGCTGCTGAAGAAGCCGCACGTCTGGGGCGAAGTGCTTAGCTCAATGTGTGCACTCTGCCACTCCAAAAAATCGTCTGGATTCCCGTGTTCTCAGCCGGGCGGCCCGGCCGGAGCAGGGAGGAGCGCGTTGCTCCGAGCGGCGCTGGGCGAGACCGGGCGCCTTCGGGTGCTGGCGCAGCTCGCAGCTGCCGCGGACAAGCTGCAGGGGCCAAAGAGCCCCCACATTTGATTTCTTGACCTAAGCTCTTCAGCACCTACCGTTAAAAGCACTCCGAGGTTCCCCGTATCCATGATTTCAGGCAGTTCGTTCCCTTAAATGCTGATTTCTCCTTTTTTTTTTTTTTTTTTTTCTCATCTCGGGAGGATTGCGGGCGCAGTTGTCATTTTTCTAAAGAAATAAGGTTTCCTGCTGAGTCCCTCCTTAGTACTTTCACCATGTCACATTTGCTACCAACCGAGCAGCCGGGAGCTGCTGTGAAATCCCCAAAACCCACGTGGAGCTACTGGAAAGGCACCTCAGCTGCGGCGGTGGGACGTGAGACGTATGCGAGGACACGGGACCCAGATCCACGAAGGAAGAGGAATGAGCGTGGTTTGCTTTAGTCTCCAGAAAACAGGTTGAGAAGGGACCTGAGTTACACCAGAAGGCACCGAAAAAGCAATTAGGTTGGAGGAAAAGCTGCTAAACTGGGGGGAAAGTTGTTAAATTGGGGAAAAAAACGGCGAGGTTGCAGGATGTTTGACTGGAGAAAGAACCAAAAGAAAGGAGAAACTGGACGTTAATACAAGTGCTGGGGTTTGCTACCTGGAAACCCCGCGTAAAATCCTGCGTGAGGCAGCTTCTCCCCCCGCTGACGTCGGAGGAACGTGTCGGCTCGTGGGAAGGCTGCCAGCTGTTCCGCTTCGATCCAGGGGCGACGCTGTGACAGAAGATCAAGCAAACAAAACGGTGGCAAACCCGAGGTGTGTCCTCGGTTTTTAGGCACTCGTACGTTTTTGTGGTGCCTTTACGAAAATGCAGCTCGGGTTTGGGCTGGTTTAGTTTGAGACCAGAGTTTATGCTGAGAAAATGTGTGTTTCAGCTTGCTCTTAGCAGGAATTTATGAGAGTTCATCATCTTACTAATGTTTTTTCTGGATTTTATGGTAAGTAGACGCCTGGAAAACACAATGCTCACCCTCTGGCTGCTCTTTCCTCCTTGTTTTTGTCTAACGAAAAACATCGCAACCTCTTTAAGCAATGTCTTGGAGCGTTTTCCAGCAAACAGCAGAATGAAAGGGCGTTACCCGATCTGAAATTCCAGTCACACTTGTCACAGGCTGCCAGGCACTGAATAGTTCCATGGAAAATTGTGATTTTTTTTTTTCTTTTCTTTCACCCTATTTTACGGGGGAAAATCCTCAGCGATCGGCATTGCCAGGTGATGCCGTCTGGACCAAGGGCTGTATGAAATCAGGATTTCATCCGCATCAATCTCATGCACAGGCTTGGGAACCCATCCCTGTGCACAGCAACCACTCGAGAAACTTTATTTCTGACATAAAGATGAAAAACAGTGGGGTTTGAACGTAAAAGTCCCCAGAAAATGGACAGGAAATTTCAGAGCAGCCCTGCAGCGGCGGTGCGACGGAGGTGGGTACCAAAATACCAGCTGGATCCTGCTCCAGACCAAGGTGGCACCTCTCCGTTTGCTTTTCCCACGCCCAGAAAACTGGTTTCGGGAATCATATTTTTAAAAAAGGAGGTTTCGGGAGCGCTGCCGAGGTTTGGAAACGAGGCTGAGGATTCAAGTTTGGCCTGGAGTTCTCCATGAACACTGTACGCCGCGTCTTGCTCAGTAGACAGCCCCGGCCGCTGCCTGCCGAGTGCTCCAGCCCGGAAACATCAACTCCTGAAATAAGTAATTTTTCTGCTTTTTGTTACTTGTTCCTCATCAGAAGATGATTTCACATATTTTCAGGATTAACGCCAGCTCGTGGAAGAAGTTCATGGTTTACGTTTGTCCAAGCAAGGACGGGTCAGTTGTATCGGTGATGTACAAAAACAGGAGCAAGAAGAATCCCCAAATAATCAGGCATTAATTAGCTCATTAGCTACCCACGGGGTTTTCTCTTCCCTCCGTTCCTGGATGGATTCCTTGGGATTGTTTGGACACTGAGGGCTTTTCATAACCTGGGTGCTTCTGAGTGGATGGATTGCTTTTTGCTTTTGCACAAAGGAACTTCAAATGAGCCTTCCCGTTAATTAGAAGACTAGGTAGATATAAAAAAAAAAGGCCTAGGAGAGCTTGCTTTCTTAGCTCTAGAGAATTTAAAAATCAAATACACACGGTGATGTCGTGTTGCCTGCTGGTGGTAATCAAGGACCAGACTTTCTGGCTCATGGAAAACATTAATTAGGTTATAAACAGCCATTAAGTGCAGTGAATCAGTGACAAGTGTATGTGCGTGCCTCCGTCGTCCCGCCAGCGATGCCATCGCCGGAGGAGCTTGGAAAGCTCTCCCTTTCCTCCAGCGTTGCCTGCTCCTTCCCCCGAGATCGGAGCCTGCGCGCCTAAGTGAAGCCAGTGGCATTTCTGCCAGCAGGTGGAAGCAGCAAAGCGGCAGCTACAGCGCCCGGAAAAGCTGCTGCTGCTGAGAAAAACACCCCGAATAAAGGCATGAGGAGGCTGAGGATGGAGAAACGCGGTCCAGCAGCGCTCCGCCTGCTCACATTTAAGAAGGAAAGTGGAAAAATAATGTACGTGGAGGTAGCAGAGCCCAGCAGGTGCTTAAAATCACCAGAATGAGCCTGAACTAGAAGAGCTGGAGGCTTTCAAGAAGGGAACCATGGCTTGTGCGCTCGGGCGATGAGTTACATCAGTGTGATTTGATATCACGGGGTGTTTGACTTGCTGGAGGGGTTTGGATTTGGATAGGTTGTGTAAATCCATGTGAACGGGCACACGGTTAATCTTTACGGTCAGTAGGGTTTTATAAATGAGGCACAAGCTTGTTCTGGTGGGTTTGTGCTTAAAGGCTCGCACCCAGGATATGGAAAATGTAAAAATAAATAGTAACTATAGACTGAAAGTCAAACCTTCAGGCAGAGGAAGAATTATCTTGGGTTTGTTTGGTCTTTTAATGACTTGATATTGAAAAGGTGGACACCGACACTTGGGCCACCTTCAGGGTGTCATTCCCACCATCGCCTGAGTCATCTTCTGGGAGTTGCTGGGCTCCTGGGCTCCCAGAGGAGCCTGGGGCAAGTTGCGGAGCTCAGAACTGAGTGCCTGACTTCTAAACCCCTAAAAGCAGGTGTATCAAGCCCGTTTTCAGGTCTCACCTTGTAGGAAATGCAAAAAAAATGGCATTTTTATCTGCAGGTGCTTTGCCCTTCGTAAGGTGGCACCTTGGGGGAAGAAAATATCTTTCTGGATGCAAGAGGCACTCATTCCTCATCTGGTGAAACTAAAATAAATCCCTCAAAACTCTTCCTTCAGACAAAGTCAGCGGGCACGGAACTACAGCCAGGTTCTGAGTACAAGCAGGCTGTCCCAGCTTCTCTGCCTTGTCTTAGGTTTAAATGGAAACGGATTTTCGTATCACGCTTTAGGAGAAAAAAGAACTTTTGCCTCAGTGGGATAACTGGAATTAAACGGGCTTCGCACCCCTGGCTCTCGAGGTTAAGGGGAAGTGTCCTTGTGCAGGTGTTTGGGTTGAACCGAGATGATTCTCGAGGGCTGGGGGCTGGGGAAATCCAGGCAGGCTGGGGAGGAGAGGGGATTGCGACCGCGGCTGCGATTCCTGCCGTGAGCTCTCCGGGAATCCACTGTGGAAGAAGAAGTAGAAGGTCTGAAGAACCTGGACAATGCAGCTTTTAAATGAGTCTTGTCCTTCTTTTTACCAGGGAAGGTTGGACTAGATGATCCTTGAGGTCTCTTGCAACCTGGTATTCTTTGATTCTTGCCAGTAAATTTTTCCCCGAAAAACATCTTGGGGTCAAAATTCCAAGTGGACTTGGAGCTTGCAGGAAATTATCTTGTCTGTTACACGTGGTGTGTGTGTTGATCGCTTGGGTAGAGACCACAGGTCCGTCGAGGGCACCCTGCAGCTCGCAGTAGCGGTGTAGTCTCCAGCTGGGCCACGTTTGGCATTGTTTTTCCTTGTGTTTCCAGGACGTGTTCGAGATGCGCTTCGCGAAGATGCCGGACGAACCAGAAGAACCTGTGATTCCAGCTTCTTCTCCCGTGGTGGTGCCACCTCCCACCAAGGTGGCTCCCCCTTCCTCTAGCGACAGCAGCAGCGATAGCTCCTCCGACAGCGACAGCTCGTCGGACGACTCGGAGGAGGAGCGAGCTCAGCGGTTAGCAGAGCTCCAGGAGCAGGTACCGCAGCCCCCGGGACGGGCTGGGGGTGCCCAGCGTGTCCTTCCGCTTCAGTTGGGTGGCCCTGGGGACCTTGCCCAAAGCCGCAGGCCTCCCTGGTTGGACAGCAGTGGCCACCAGCTGCAGAGTGCTCCCAAAGCGTTAGTTTTGACAGCGAAGCGGGAAGGAATCGGTGCTTTTGGGATGATCCTTCCAGTTCCTGTCGGGGCACGCGGAGTGGGCCCCAGCGGCAGGGGTGTGCGCGTGGGTGGCGTCCCCGGAGCCGGCAGGACACTCCCCAGCGTGGGGGGAGCCCGCCAGCTAGGGAGCAGCGCGCCAACCCGTAGCCACCTCTCCCCCACCCTCCCCGTTCCTGGCTTCGTTAGCGCCGGTAATTAACGCGTCGCCAGTGCTGACGAAGCGAGCAGCCCGCGTGTGCCTTCGCGGGGAGAAACAGCCCTGAAGAGGTTGTCTCCTTCCTCTTGCAGTGGTCAGCGTTTTAATATACAGAAATCACAGTGTGATGAAAAGCTGGAAGAACAGACTTAATTAAGAGCAAAAGATAAGAAAGCATTAGGCAGTAGGGAAAAAGGGTAATTAATATGGAAAAGGAGGAGGTGCTGGGCCAAATATCTTGATCTTTGTGTGTGTCTGCCTCTCAGCTTAAAGCAGTGCATGAACAGCTTGCAGCCCTGTCCCAGCCACAGCAGAACAAACCAAAGAAAAAAGAGAAAGACAAGAAGGAGAAGAAGAAGGAGAAGCACAAAAAGAAGGAAGAGCTGGAAGACACCAAGAAGAGCAAAGCCAAGGAGCCGCCACCCAAGAAGGCCAAGAAAAGCAACAGCAACAGCAGTACCTCCAGGTCAGCCCCATCTTCTTCCGTCACGTAACCCTTCTGTTTTACCACACAGCACTTCGAGTTCTTTCCATTTCCCTTTTGCTAATTAACTTAATTGTACGCAGGAGTCTTGGCGGGTCAGGCCGCTGCTCGGGCTGACTGGCCCCCAGCCCCTCGCCTCCGGGGGCGTTGCTCACAGTCAAGTCCCAGCCGCGAGTTTAAGTGGATTTTGGGGGCTGACGCTTTTCCGCGTGGCTGCTGTGAGCGCCCGGGCTGTGGGATGGAGGCAGAAACGCTCACGTGGAGTCGCTCTGTTGGATCTCAGACCCTGGAATCCGTTAAATGTTCCTCCGTCTCCCTTTTCTGGGGGAACTGTAGGTCTGAAATGAAGAGCTGAGATGCCGAGAGCTGGGCCTGTACCGCTTGGCAGCTGCCGGCTCCAGGGCAGGCAGGATCTTGGTATTCAACCCGAGGCGAAAGGGAGTTGTTTGGCATATTTAGCTGTAATGAGATGAAATTAAGAAAAGGAGGAAATAGCGAGCAGGAACTTGGAGCTTGTCTCTTTTCCCTGGGCCTCACCACAGCGCTCGGTGTGCTCAGGCTTGGAATAAACCCCGGCGGGCACGGCAGCGGATTATTTTAGGGAAATGGACCGTCTGTGACACCATTAACCTCATCCTTTACTACTTCTGGGCTGGTTTCCTACCCCGACCTCATTTATGGACGGCGTTAGCACTGAACCTGCTGCAAATGGCGGCATAAATAGCTACAAATCCCCCTCCATCAGTTTTGAAGTGCCCAGAGTGTAGATAAACCCGACAGTGATGCCAGGGAGTCCCCGTAGCTGGATTTTTTATGTATTTTTACATACGTTTTTTTATGGATGCTGGTTTTTACTTCACTGCATGGGGTGTCAGCATGAGCCTGCCCAACCTCTTGCCTTTCCTGGCGAGAAATGGGCGGCCTCGGTTGAGCCTTGGCCCATCCAGGGGCAGACGTAAGGAGCGTCGCTCCAGAGCTGCTCCTGCTTTCCTGAATTACCTCCTGGAGCTGCTCGTCTCTGTCGGCGTCTGACCACGGGTTGAGCTCAGCCTTGGGTGTCTTAACAGCAGATAGAACTCAGCTTCGCGTGTCGAACAGCAGGTTGAGCTCAGCCTTCTTGTCTGACATCACATTGAGCTCAGCCTTGGGTGTCTGACATCGCGTTGAGCTCAGCCTTGGGTGTCTGACATCACATTGAGCTCAGCCTTGGGTGTCTGACATCACGTTGAGCTCAGCCTTGGGTGTCTGACATCACGTTGAGCTCAGCCTTGGGTGTCTGACATCACGTTGAGCTCAGCCTTGGGTGTCTGACATCACGCTGAGCTCAGCCTTGGGTGTCTGACATCGCGTTGAGCTCAGCCTTGGGTGTCTGACATCACGTTGAGCTCAGCCTTGGGTGTCTGACATCACGTTGAGCTCAGCCTTGGGTGTCTGACATCGCGTTGAGCTCAGCCTTGGGTGTCTGACATCGCGTTGAGCTCAGCCTTGGGTGTCTGACATCACGTTGAGCTCAGCCTTGGGTGTCTGACATCACGTTGAGCTCAGCCTTGGGTGTCTGACATCGCGTTGAGCTCAGCCTTGGGTGTCTGACATCACGTTGAGCTCAGCCTTGGGTGTCGAACAGCAGGTTGAGCTCAGCTTTGGGTGTCAAACAGCAGGTTGAGCTCAGCCTTGGGTGTCGAACAGCAGGTTGAGCTCAGCTTTCTGCATCCCAGCCTCATGGTTGAGCTTCAGGCGCAAGCTATAAATGAAGAAGGTGCTTGTTTCCAGGACGGAAAGTCAAAATACTAAAAATAATGATTTTAGTGGTTACATCTAAGAGGTTAGACCCAAGCGGCTGCTTTTCGGTGTTGTGATCTGCTCTGTAATAACATTTTATAATTGTTCTTAAGTAGTAAGAAGGAGCCTGTGACGGTGAAGAACAGCAAGCCCCCTCCAGCCTACGAGTCTGAGGAGGAGGAGAAGTGTAAACCCATGTCCTATGAGGAGAAGAGGCAGCTGAGCCTGGACATTAATAAACTCCCCGGTGAGAAACTGGGCCGAGTTGTCCATATCATCCAGTCGAGAGAACCCTCGCTCAAAAACTCCAATCCCGACGAGATCGAGATTGACTTTGAGACATTAAAACCATCCACCTTACGGGAGCTGGAGCGATACGTAACGTCGTGTTTGCGGAAGAAGAGGAAACCTCAAGGTACCTTTTAGCCTCAAAACCTATTTTTATTCCTTATTCCAGCGATGCTTTCCCAGGCTCGAGACAGAGATGGGTAGGAGAAGAGCTGGCTGTGGGTGCTGAGGTGCTCGATACCCTTGTCCAGTGAAAAAGGGGATTTTAGTTGATTTTTTTAATTAGATTTAGTTTAGTGTTTCTCTAACGACACATCACCCCACGTGTTAAATCCTGCTGCGGGGCTGATGCGGGGCTGCTCGTTCCCATTTCCCCCCTGAACGTCGCTACTTTAATTAATGTCGTCCCAGAGCGCTGCAGGTGGTTTGCTTCAATCTGACAGAAACGGTTTTTCTTAAAGCTGTTAACGATCTTTCTGACGAGCGGCAGCTTCGGTTTGGGGCAGGGAATGGAGGTGAGAGCGGGGGAAAGCAGTCCCTGCGCCCCCGTGGGGCCCCGGCGGTCGGGGCGGTGTCGGGCAGCGGGGTCGTGTATTTTAAATAAAGACTTTGTATCCCTTTGTTATAGCCGTAACTTCCACCATTTAGATACGTATTTTATGCCCATTTTTATTTTTAATACATTTTTAAATGCATGTTTCTATACTATAAACAGATTTATACATCTTTCTATACAATTAAATAATACTTCTGTAATGAACAGACATATTTATTAATGGCCAAAGAGCAGCTAAACACTTTGTTACATGCATCGCCCGCAGCAGAAAGGGATGTGGCAGCGGCAGGGGGAGAAATACAGGAATTTGAAGGGAATCCCTTGATTTTCTGTGGCCAAGGGGTAGGGATTGCTTCCCGGGATCAATCCGAGTGGGAAACAAGCCCGGTCAAACCCTGGAAGCTTTCTTCATCCCTCTGTACCCAAGCAAAACATGTGGATTTTGTCCTGTTTTGCTTTAGTTTAGGGTTTTAGGGGTTTAGTAAAGGGCTCTGACCTTGCCAGTGGCTTGAGCAACTCCTGGGCTGTGGCCACTCGTTTCTGTTCTCATTCAAGCTGTGAAAAAAAAGGCGGTTTTATCCTTCCCCACTGGTTCAGCCTCCTGGCGCCGCCTGAAGCCGGCAAGTTGAGGCAGCTGAGGGGCCGGAGTTTTACCCCCCTGGGGTTCAGCGCGGCTGCTGGCTGGGCCGGGGAGGGGGGGGGAGCCCCCCAGCCTGGGGCCGGCCCGGGGCGGCTGCCTGACGCCGCTGGAGCTGCCCTGCGCCCGAGGGACCCGCTGGAGCCGGCGAGCGCGCGCCCTGCGGCCGGGTGTCGGCTGGGACGGGCTTAAATCCCCGTCCCGCTTCGGGTGGTGGCACCCCCGTAAGAAATCATCACCCCAAAGAGCCCGGCGGCCCCGCTGCTGGCGCGGGGCAGTGATGGGAGGTCTCGCTCGGCCCCCCGGGGGCTGCCCGGGAGCAGCAGGCGGCCAGGCAGGACCCGGGGTTGGTAATTGCCCGTTAACGATGTCCTACTGTTGTCTTCTTGCAGCGGAGAAAGTGGATGTAATTGCTGGTTCCTCTAAGATGAAGGGGTTCTCCTCCTCCGAGTCTGAGAGCACCAGCGAGTCCAGCTCCTCCGACAGCGAAGATTCAGAAACAGGTTAGACGCAGCTTATTTAACGACTCAGTCCTAGACCTGGTTTCTGTATAAATAAATATGTTTTCATTCCTGGCTTGGTCTTTTAATTATTTTTTTTTTTTGGTCTTTGTGATGAAAAAAGCAATGTACACAGCTGCATGTTGCTCGGTTTTGGGCTCGGCAGGGACAACTTGGCGGTAGCGACGCTCTCTCTGGCAGTCCTTAAGCCCAAGGCGGTGACTTTTCATAAGCTTTTCCTTGCTGAACTTGAACGTGAGGGCAGGAGCCAGAAAGACAGCGTGCACCATCTTTGTCTGATGAATGACCTAGATTTGTATTTTCAGAAAAACGCTGTATTTTTCCCTCAGATTTGGGGTTTAAACATTGTCGCCAGCACCGCTGGCGCCACAGAGCCAAGAGAAAGATGGAGGAAACAGGGTTTTACGTGTGAAAGCCTTTTTATTTTACAGCATTGGGCAGGCAGATCTTGAGAAGAAAGGATTTAAAATTAAATTTTTAATCACCGGAGCGGCGTCTGCTCTGCATAACTCTTTGCTTCTCTCTCGTGCCACCATTGTTCGGGCTTAAACTAGGCTTCTCTCAAGTTCCTCTTAATTACTGTGCTTTCCTTGCCAGCCTTCCCTCCTCGGGTTTAGGGAGGCAAAGCTTGTGCCGTCACTTAAAGCTGGTTTTTCCCCCTAGCTGCTAACTCAGCTTGGACTCTGGAGGTTAAGCTGGGCTTACCCCAGCACTTAAGTCAACGGAGAGACTTGCGCATCTCCAGAGGGTTGGGAAATCAGGAGGTGCACGTGGCAGACAATAGTCTGGGTTGATTTTCGTAGCTGGGCTGGGTGCAGCGGGCAAACAGCACCAAAAAAAAAGGAGCAGAAATCAAAAAAAAAACCCAGACTAAAATAAACCCCAAAAATAGAGCAGGATTGATGGGACTCACCTTTGAGCCGGTGCTGGCAACGCTTCCCAGCAGTCCTCTGCTTTTTAGGGTTGTGTTTGTCTGGGATAAGTCTGGACTCTTAGATCTTTGAACATATTTACCTATTTTAATGTATTTTTAATGGAATTGGGCTTTTTTTTTTTTTTTTTTTTTTTTTGGAAAAGGGTGTTGAAAGGTATTGATAGAGTGTTTAGGGTTGACTCTTGGCAATCAGAAAATTAAATTATTTGGTGCTAAATTCTGCCCTGGCTTGATGGGGGAAAGCAAAACGTGCCGTATTTATGCTCTTTCCAGTTTATTTTTATTTCTGCCAAGCTCACGATCGCATCAACCAGCATAAGCCCCAGCGACCAGTTTTTTGCCACCCGCCTTGGCATGTCACATCAATTTTGGCCGACATCAACTCATCCCAACTCCAGAGCCTTAACCCCGGCATCCCATTTCCAAATGGAACCCATCCAATAAAATTTACCCACTAAACCCATCCCCTGCAGGTCCCCAAATTGCGTTTTATTTAAAATTCTCTTTTTTTCCCCCAAAGCTGATGGCTAGATCCTCAACTGGCTAGCAGGACCCTCGACCTGTGTTTCAGGAGATGATTTGTAGGGCTGAGCTGGGGGATGTGGGGATTTTCGGGCTGCGCTGGTGCCAAAGCCGCCTCGTTTCAACGAGCGGCGATAACTCAAACCTGAAGCGGCGCCAGAATCTCCTGCGTGCTGCTCCAGCTCCGGCAAAGCCACTGTCTGAGAGAGTGGGAAATACTCGTAAATTCTGAGTGTTTCTCCCCAAACGGTGGCTCATAGGATGCGGAGCAGTGCAGGTTGCTCTTGACTTCGGAGTTTCTAAATGCTTCTGTCCTCTTTCTGGCTGCTTTTCCCTAAATCTGGCGTCTTTGCTCGTGTTTGCCACCCCAGCTGGGAGCAGTTGGGATTTATTTGGCCGACGCAGGCCGACGTTATCCAGGCCGGGCTCCCGCGCCGGTGCTTGGAGGAGGCTTAACCGACGCGGCTCCGGCTCGGACAGCCTCGGTCTGCGCCGGAGCCACCGCCCTCGGGGGCCGCATCCAACCCACAGCGCCCCGGGGAGGAGCTTAATTAAGAGAATTCATCTCTTTTTTTTCAGTTAATTTCCAATGCCGATGCGGTTTTGCGCTCCTAAACCATTTTTTCCTCCCCGTCCTGATAAAATGCACAGTGAAAACCCCTGGCCGCAGGGATTTGGCTGATACCCAGGAGGTGGTCTCCGTCCTGGTATGTGTATGTTGTAGCTGAATCACTTTCCAGTTGTATTTTAAGGCTTCTAAGACCTTTTAAGAGACTTTGCGACTTTTTAGGATGTTTTGAGCCCTTTTAAGACATTTTTGACACTGTGCGTTGTCCCATTAGTTGACAGCGACGTTATTTTAACGACCCCAAGTGGGATGGGGCGGTTAATTTTGCTGGTGTAAAATATTCCTATATTTATTTATTTTTTCTGGGGGGATGACTGTGGCAGTGCCTGCACTGGCTTCAGCAGAGAATTAGATTTAAAATTTTGCTGGTAAGCTTCAGAATTTGCCTTGCAATTTTTAATAAGATCTGGCATCTGAACAATCTTACTTTCTGTTGATGAGGCTTTTATTTGCCCACGGAGCTGCTGTACGGTGGGATTACTTTGTGCAGTAGATATTTGTGATTTTAAAACCGGTGGCAAAAGTTGCGAACGTGGATTTTTTTTTTTTAGCCTTGATTTTTGCATTTGCTTGTGTTTACCATTAAAGAGCGGTGGTTAATGCTAGCTAACGCGTAGGAGCCAGCGCGGACGCGATGCAGGTGTAAGCAAGAGTTGATTGCAGCTCCCCCTTTATTCTCTTCAAAGTGCGGGTTTGCTGCTCGGCAGCAGCTCCCACAAGCTGCCTCTTGCCTCTTTGCAAACCTGAGCTTTTAAAATCTGAATTATTTTTATTTTACCCTCTTGAATCCATGTGACGTCTCCACCCCTCCGTGTAGCTGGCAATTAAACGTGTTATTTTATTAAATCAGGAGTGTTTTGCCGAAAATCTGCTGAAACTCTGCAAATAGGAGGCTTCAAAGGGAGGAAAAATAAAAATACCGGTTTTGTAGCAGAGGAGACGGGGCTGAGCTTTTGCCTTGAGCTCTGGGAAACCAGAGGTGCCAATCGAGAGGGTTATTCCGGTTTAACTTGTTGTAATTAGCAATTAGTGGATGCAGATGACCCCAGACTCCGTCCTGGAAGCATCCGGGGAGGGTTTGTCGCTTGCGAGGGGCCGGGGCTGAGCTCTCCCACCATCTCGGACGCTCCTCACGGCTTGGAGCGTCGCGCTTGGGCCGGGCGAGGGTTTAGCCAGAGCCTGGCAGGTTAAAACCTGGCCTGGTTTTGGTAGGCACCAAACTGGGGGGTTTTTAGCCGCAAGCTGGAGAGGCTCTACCTGTTCATCCTCTCTGCTCGGCTGAGCGGGCTTGGTTTATCCCCCGAATGTTTTGGGAGATGCTTCCCAGGAGCCCCAGCAGCCCTGTCGGGGGCAGAAGTCGCCCGGCTGCAATGTTAGGAGCAGCAATTAAAACTTGCGCAATTAAATGCGAGCCTCGGTTAGGTCGTGGTGGCTGGCTTTGCTTCTCTTCTGAAATTTCCCAAAGGAAAATCTGCGTTTATCCGCACGTTTTATGCAGTTGCGTAAAGGAAGAAGCTTTGCAGCTTGTCAAGGCGGCAGCGGCGCGGCCGTGGTGTGCGAAGGATTAAAAGTCGGGGTTGGAGTTGGCTCAGCCACGCGGGGAAACCCGTTCTGGGCTTGCTGAGCTGCTTGCAGCAAATCCGAGTGCTGCTGCGAGGGGCTCTGGGTCCCGTCTGTAGGAGGAGAGGCGTTAGCGCGAGGCTGGGGCCGCAGTGGGCTGGGACTTCGTGGTGTCTCAAGAGTTGGGGGTCCCTCGCGTTTAATTCGGAGGTGTCCGGGATTAAGTCTTGAATTTAATGAGCGGGCACCTGGGCTGGGACTGCAAGTACCGGCGTTTGGATTCGGACGGGCCCAGGTTTTGATTCGGAGGTACCTGGGTTTAATTCAGGTTTGATTTGCAGGTACCTGGGTTTAGTTTGAACGTACCTGGGTTTTAATTTGCAGGTTCCCAGAATTCGCGTGTGCCTGGGTTTAAATTGCAGGCACCTGAGTTTAATTCACAGCTACATGGGTTTAATTAACTCAGAGGTGCCTGGAAGCTGCAGGTACCCGGATTTAACTCCCAGGTGCTTGGTTTTATTTCGGAAGTATTGGGGCGGAATCCACAGGTACCCAGGTTTTATTCGTGGGTACCTGAGTTTAATTCAGCGTTAACCTGGGTTTAACTCCAAGTTACCCGAGTTTAATTTGCAGGCATCTGGGGTTAATGTGAAGGTTTAATTCCCAGATGCCGAGGTGTAACCCACAGGCACCCGTGGCTGTGGGTGCTGGTGAAGCTCAGTCCCAGCCAGCAAGACAGACCCCCCACGCTCCGGGCGCTGGTTTATTTTAGGGAGTTTTAATCCTTGCTTCGTCTTCCTTCGGGTTTGGGAGAAAGATGGATTGAGTTAACCCAACCGTTTACCTTCCAAGTGGATCTGTGCTCTGGGAAAGGCTTTGCTCCCTTCTGCCCCGTCCCCGGGCTCGGCGCCTCGGCCGCAGGGTGGGCAAGGAAGGACTTGGGGTCCCTCGAGAGCCTTGCCCCGCTCCTCGCCACCTCCTGTGCTGGGCAGGAGGGGGCAGAGCGCCGCGGGGGCGCCGCGGGGTACAGGCCACGCCGGTCAAGCCTGGCCTAACTGAGACGGCCGTGCGGTGGGCGAGCGGGCAGGGAGTCAGGCAGCGAGGCGCCGCGTGGCGAGGAGAACCCCAGTCCCCTCAGTTTCACCCTGGCAGCGCGTCCCCACGGCTTTGCCGGCGGCCGGACCGTGCCGAAAGCAGGCCCGAGGGCCACGCGGCACCCCGCGGGCCTCGCCTCGCCGGCGCCGCCGCCGGCCCCCTCCCCGGGTGCGCTGGCCGGCCCCATGGCCGGCGCCCTTTGGGTCAAAGCTGGCAAATGTGGGTGTGCCTGGGGGGACTGGGAGCTGGCAAATCTGGGTGTGCCTGAGGGGACTGGGAGCTGGCAAATCTGGGTGTGCCTGGGGGGACTGGGAGCTGGCAAATCTGGGTGTGCCTGAGGGGACTGGGAGCTGGCAAATCTGGGTGTGCCTGGGGGGACTGGGAGCTGGCAAATCTGGGTGTGCCTGAGGGGACTGGGAGAGCGGCCGGCCCTCCGGCAGCGCCGCAGGCGGTGCCGCGCCCGCCCTGGGGGAGGTTGTGGGGTCCGGAGGGCGGATGGAGTCGCCACTCCCATGCCCGGGAGGAGGATTGGTTAAAACTAGTGTTTTCCACTAAAAAAACAAACCGCCCGCTGCTGAATCCAGGAGGGCCCGTCGCAGCTTTGCTGCTCCTCAACCGAATAGAGAGTCCCTTTTGTATCAAAAAAAATTGTAACCAGTATTCTATTGCAAAGTTGCTTTCTGGGTGGGTTTTTCTTTTACACTGAAGTCGCTTTTAGCGTTTATTATTATATTTTCCCCAAATAAGTTTGTTATTTTCCCAGGAGACACAGGGGGAATTAATGTGGGATCGTGATTTTATTGGAATGTATAACTGCATGTTTTTAGCAAACTTGTAATTTTAGATCTATTTTTTCCTAAATGCACCAGACTTGGAAAATCAGGATGAATTTAGCTGTGAACAAACTGTTTCCATAACCGCTTTTGTTTAGATTTTTTTTTTTTCCACTTAACCTTGATCTGCTACAAATACTTTATATAAATCTGTTTATTTTTATATTATCTCTGCATGTTTCGGGATTTCGCAGACATGTAACCACCAGCTTCTTTCCCCCCCCGAGAAAAGAGAAAAATTGTATAGCTTTAATATTTTTATTTTTAAATAATAAAATCAATAAAGTGGCTTGCTACAGAAAATGCACTTTTTTGTATAATCATGGAATTCTAACCAATAGCACGGAAATGATGATAGTGAACAGTGCGTCAGTGTTTTGCTATTTGGGGTAAATTCGGGTGTGAGAAAAAGATGAGGATTTAGGGAAAAACAAAATACCCACACGCGGCTGCAGACATACTAGCAGGAGCGGAGTCTCCTGCGCCAATTTAACCTTTCTGCTCTAAAAGCATCTTGAAACGACATCGTGGAAATCCCTTCTCTGTTTAATCCCGGTGACTTTTAACGCCACGGATGAGATTTAACCGGCCAGCGTGACACGGGGTCGGAGATGGGACAAGGCTTCTGCTCGGTGCCCTGGCTCCCCGGCGAGACGCTGGCGGCGACGCTGGACCACGCGGCGCCGGCCGTGACCCCTCGGCACCGAAGAGGCTTCATCGCGGAGCGGGGTTGGCATCTCCGAGGTCACCGACGCCACCAGGTGATGCCCTGGGACCATCGTGGCCTTGCTGCTTGTAGTCCCCGTTGGCTTCCTTGGCTTGGTGAAGGCACCTCTGGCCAGCCTGAAACCGTCAGGCTCGGAGACGGGACGGGGCTTCTTGCTGCTCTTGCTCCCCTGGGAGATGCTGAACGGCGCGGTACCGACTAACCCGACCGCCGTCTTCACCGGGGGAGAAGGTTCGTCCTTCCGTGGGGTCGGCCAGGCCCGTGGCACCTCGGGAACCGCTGGCGCCGCGGGGCGCCACTTCCAGGACTGGTGCCTTTGCCACCCAGGGCCTCCAGTGCCTTCATCTCCCTGGTGAGGGATCCCCAGCGCATCCGTTGGGCAGCAGATGCCTTCGAGCCACCGTGGCGGTTGATTGGGTGATTGACCCATCCCACTCCCAGGTCTCGCTCCAGTTGGTTGCGGTGCTCGGCCTGGACCAAGAACGGATGGCAAAGCCCACAGGGAAGAAGCTCCCCGGGGGAACCGTCGGGCTGACACGGAGGGCAGATGGATGAAGAAGAGCGCAACCACCTTCCCCAAAGGAGCAACACCGGAGAAGAAGCGGGTTTGGCAGCAGCCGATACTTGCGGTCAAACCACGGCGGCTCCTCTTGCCACCCAAAATCAGAGCAGGGCTGTGCTCAGCCACGTTACGCGGCTTTTTGGGGGGGGAACTGCTTGATCCCTCCTGATCCTGGCTTACTCCACAGCTTTCCACCTCTCTTTCCACCCGACACCCACACTCTCTGCAGTTCTCCCAGTTTTGGGTTTTCTTTACCATCCTGTGAGCGTTTTTTTTTCCTGATCAAGTAGGACGAGACAGAAAGGGGAGGGTCTGCAAAGCCGCCTCCACTCCACAGTAGCTGCCCCTGGACACATTTCATCCGTAGGGAGCATCTGCTGCAGAAACCGGTCTCCACTTGTCCTTCTTCTCCGGCACCGGCGGGATGAGCAGTGAAGTCCTGCAAAGCACTTTCCGTCTTGACGGCAGGAGATGTCAGGCCCTGGTCTTTCTGGAAGGGAGGGTTCACGCTGAGCATCCCGCCTGGAGCCACGGGTGGCAGTCGGGATCCACGGACACCCACCCATTTGAAGCCAGGGATGCCCATCCCGCTCCGCGGGCGCCCATCAGAGCTGCAACCACCCATGTGGAGCCGCGGACGCCCAGCCTGAGCCGTGGCGGCCCCTCTGTGGAGCATTCCCTCACCTGGAGCCGGGAACGCTCACCCAGATCCCGGGGCGCCCGTCGGGATCCACGGACACCCGCTTGGAGCCCCCGTGGCCACCCACGGCCCGTCACCACCCAGCCGGGCACCGTGATGCTCCCAGGAACCCCGCCAAGCCCCCGGCTCCCCACCGGGTCCCCAACACCACCATCCCCTGCGACCTTCCTCTTCCTCTCTCCCTCTCGTCCTTCGTCCGCCGGATCCAGGCTGCAACCTCGGGGATTGTCAACTAAAAGCCTTTTCCACCTCAAAACCAAATGCTTCTTATATTTAAAACCAAACGTTTGCAGGCGGATTAATAGGAGCTAAGCGCTCAGCACTGATATTTTCCTTTCTCCCCAAGCGTTTTTTGTTTGGTATTTTTGCCCAAAACCCTACTTTTTTATCTACTTCAGCCTCAAAATCTGCAAAAACGGTGCTGCTGGATCAACACAGCCCCTCACCAGGCTTCTGGGCACGTTCTGGTCCGGATACCAGTCACTAGTGCTGCCTTAGAATTAAAAAAAAAAAAAACAAAGTGGAGTAAACTCAAGAAATTAATTTAGTTTCTGGAGGGATTTAAGGGGAAATCCCATTTGGGAGATGATCCCCAGGAATCAGGAGCTTCACCCCCCACCCCGAATCGTTCCCGCGAGGGTTCTGTCGGTGCGTTTTGCTGGGCAGATCCAAACACCGCACCAAATCAAGGCACAAACCCCACCGCCGAGGGACTTGGGTGGCTGGGTGAGCGACCTCAGACAATGTATTTTTGTTAATTTGCTGTTTCTTGGCACGGTTCGCGGAGGAAATCCTGGGAAATCGTCGCCCTGGACCCAAACTCAAACCAGTTGTTTTCGATGACGATGCTTTAAAAATATCTCCAGAGGGGAGGAGGCGTGAGAGCATCCCGCGGGAAGCTGGCAAACCCAAACCCTCCGCAGATTGAGGAGGAAAGGGGGATGGAAAATCGCTGTTCGCGTAGCCGGGATATTTGATACCTTTATTTTTTTTTATTCCTCCTGCCAAGTCTCTTGCTCCTTATCTGCCCCTTCGGAGCAAGGCGGCATTCCTGGAATAGCTGAGTCTGGTTGAGCAATGGTTTTTCTTGGCCGTTGGGTCGTTCTCCACCGCGAAGAGACCGGTGGAAGGAGAACGGGGCTCTTTGCCTTCATTTTCTTCTCCTTTTTGCTACGATTTTCTCCTTCTTGCGACAGCATGGCGGTGAAAACCCCGGGCCTCCGGGCAAGAGGTCCCTGGGGGAGTCCAGCTCGATCGATGCCTAAAACTTTCTTCTTTGCCATCATTGGTACCGAATCGGTGCCGCTGCGATACGGGGGCGATGGGGTAGAGCAACATTGCTGCGGTACTAATACTCGCTCTGTTCCCCCTTTTTTCTTTTGGCAGAAATGGCACCGAAATTGAAGAAAAAAGGGCATTCGGGGCGAGAGCAAAAAAAGGTAGGAGACGCAGCGTCCTGCTCACCTCGCTTGAGTTGGGGTTGAATCCCCGGGGAGGTTGGGCGGCGCCGGGAATGCCGGCAGAGCCAGCCCCGGCACGCTCGGCCGGGCTGGCGCGGCCCCGAATGAGCCCCGAGCTGGGGAGTGTGGCTGAAAGGGCCCTGGGAGGGCTCTGCGGCGGCGGGGCTGGGGGCGTTTTGGTGACCCGGGGGGCACTTCGGGGTCTGGGGACGTGTTCTGGTAACAGGGTGAGCATTTCAGTGACGGAAGCAGCGTTTTGGTAACCAGGAGGTTGTTTTGGTCACTGGGAAGGCGTTCCGGTGACCTGCAGAGGTGTTTTGGTGGCCGGGAGGGGACTTTGGTGATCAGAAAGGCGCTTCGGTGACCGGGAGGGCATTTTGGTGGCGGGGCGGGCGTGTTTCGGTGACCGGGCGGGGACTTTGGTGGCGGGGCGGGCGTGTCTCGGTGACCGGGAAGGCGTTCGGGCGACTCACCGGTGGTTTGTGTGTTTGTCTTTCCACCTCCCGTAGCATCACCATCACCACCATCAACCGGCGCAGCAGCAGCCGCCGCCGCCGCAGCCGCCGCCGCCGCCGCAGGCGCAGCAGCCCCCGCCGCCGCCGCCGCCGCCGCAGCCCCTACCGCCGCAGCCCCTACCGCCCCAGCAGCCCGCGCCGCCGCCCCCGCCGCCGCCGGTCCCCCAACAAGCCCCTCCGCCAATGAAGTCTTCTCCGCCGCCTTTCGTCCCCGCGCAAGTCCCCGTCCTGGAGCACCCGCTGCCGGGGAATATGTTCGACACCATGACGCATTTCACCCAACCCATCATGCACCTCCCGCAGCCGGAGATGCCGCCCCATCTCCCCCAGCCCCCCGAGCACAGCACTCCTCCCCACCTCAACCAGCATGCCGTGGTGTCTCCTCCAGGTGAGCGCGGCTGCCCGGGACGGGCCCCCCGCGTGCTCCTTCCTCCGGCCGGGAGGGCGAGGGTGGCCTCGGGGGGGCTTTGCTCCTCCTGGGGAGCAGCGGGGCTGGAGGAGCGGCGGGTGGGCGAGGGGGGGGGCTCGTCATGCCCGCGGTGCCACCGTGTCCTCCCCTCTCTCCCCAGCTTTGCACAACGCTCTGCCTCAGCAGCCCTCGAGACCCAGTAACCGAGCCGCGGCGCTACCCCCGAAGCCTTCGCGTCCGCCGGCCGTCTCGCCGGCCATCAGCCAGCAGCCCATGCTCCCCCAGCCGCCTCTGCCCCAGCCTCCCCAGGTCCTGCTGGAGGACGAGGAACCTCCTCCGCCGCACCACAGCCTGCCTCTGAGCACCAGCCAGATGCAGCTCTACCTTCAGCAGCTGCAGAAAGTGCAGCCGCAGACTCCTCTTCTCCCTTCAGTGAAGGTCCAGTCGCAGCCGCAGCCGCCCCTGCAGCCGCCGGCTCACCCCGCGGTGCAGCAGCTGCAGCAGCACCAGCCGCCGCCGCGGCCCATGCACATGCAGCCCATGCCCTTCCCATCCCACATCCCCCAGCCCCAACCGCCGCCGCAGCAGCATCCGCCCCCGCAGCCGCCCCCGCCGCCCCCGCCGCCGCAGCCGGCCAAGCCGCAGCAGGTCATCCAGCACCACCCGTCGCCGCGGCACCACAAGCCTGACCCCTACTCGACGGGTGAGCGGGCGGCGGGGGCGGCGGTGGAGCCTGCGGCGCGAGCCTGGTCGCGCTGCGCGAGGAGTTGGGGTGCGGGGCGGTTTCCGCGCGTCCTCGGAGCTCCGGAGGAAGCCCCGGTCAGCCCGAGCCCGGCCTGACCGCCCGGCCCGGCCTCTCTGCACCTCACGCCCTCAAAGACCTGAGGACCTCAAGTGTTGGAGGATCTCAGGTGCTTGAGGGGCCCGGGGTTTTGAGGAGCTGGAGGTTCTCAGATCCTCAGGGATCTCAACGATCTCAAATCGTTGAGTAACTTCATCTCAAATCTTGGAGGAGCTCGTCGTGAAGCTTTCGAGGACCTTGATCTCGGCGATCTCGTTTTCGAGGATCTGGAGGGTCTCAGGCTCTTGATCTCATTCGCAGATCTTTGAGGAACTCAAGGATCTCCTGTTTTTGAGGATCTCAAGTGAGGGTCTCGTTTCTGAGGATCCTGAGGTTCTCACATCTTTGAGGAACTCGAGGATCTCAAGTTTTGGAGAAATTCAACCTCAGATCTTTGAGGATCTCAGAGTTCTCAAGTTTTTGAGGAACTTGGGGATTTCATATCTTTGAGAAACAACCTCAGTTCTTTGAGGATCTCGATCTTGGGTTTTTGAGGAACTCAGGCTCGTATTTGAGGAACTCGATCTCAAATTTTTGAGGAACTCAAGGTTCTCAAATCTTGGAAGGCCTCAGGGTTCTCGAGTTTCTGAGTCTTGGCGCAGCTCTGATGCTGGAAAGCGCTGCCCTTGCATCCGTTGCCATCCTGGCTGGGTGCCGGCGCTGGGCGGTCTCTCCGGAGGAGTCCGGGGGTTTGCTCCCCGCTCTTGGAGGAGCTCAGGGCTGTGGATGCCCCGTGGGGGTTCCTGGCATGGTTTGGAGCGTGTCTCTGATAACGCAGCTGATCAGCTGCCAGGCGGAGAAGGGATGAGCTGGGGGGAAACCTGGTGTGTTGCCCCCCAGCTGCCCCAGAGATCAAAGGCCGCGGGGCTCGGCCTTCGAGTTGGGAGATCCCAGATCATCACGGTGGCCGGGGGCTCGGCGGTGCCACCACTGGCGCTGCCGGTGGGGAACGTGTCCGGCCAGCGTAACTCCGGCCGTGGTGTGCTTGTGAGACCGGGCACCCGTGAAACCTCTCTGGCTCGGGGAGGTCTCGCTCCTCCTTTTGCTTGGCCACGTGGTTGCCCAGACTGTGGCCCATCGGGTCTTTGCTCCTAAAGTCACCGTGCTCGGCCCTGCGTGGGGGCGTAGGCAGGACGAAACCCCTGGATTTGGAGGGATGGAGCCGGCTGAGGGCAGGCAGCGCGTGGCGATGCTTCTCCTGCCTGCGGAGCTGCTGCAGGCAGCTCGGACGTGGTGCCCGAGGTGGCAACTCGGGCGCGATGCCCGAGACGGAGCTGCCTGGCTCCTGAAAACCTCCCGTTGCCCCTGGAGCCGACGCGTCCTGTCTCTCTGGCTCTGGGCAGGGAGAGATACAGGCAGGGCGGTGCCGGCGCTCGGGTGTCCCGGGGCAGCGGTTGCACAGCCGGGGAGGTTGGCTGGGCCCCCAGGAGAAGCAGCAGGAGGCGTCGAGTTGTTGGGGGGACACCACAAACGAGCATCTCCGAGGCAGGACAAGCCACCACCCAGCCTCGGAGCAGCTTCTGCTGCCCGGCGTTCGCTCCCGGCTGGGAGGAGGGTGCCCGGGGTCCGCTGGGGACATCCCAGGGCCACCAC